TCTTTAAACTATTCCTGTACAGTTTTTGCAGTGTGGCAGGCTGCATTATCCTGCTGCAAAAAGCCACTGCCATAAGGGAACACCATTGCCATGAAGATATGTTCGTGGTCTGCAACAATCTAGGGTAGGTGGCATGTGTCAAAGTAACATTTACATAAATGCCAGGTTTCTTAGCAGAACATTTCCGAGAGCATAACACTGCCTCTGCCAGCCTGCCTTCTTCCCATAGTGCATCCTGTTGCCATCTATTTCCCAGGCAAACAATGCACATCTTCCTGATGTAAAAGAAAACGTGATTCATCATACTAGACAACCTTCTTTCATTGCTCAATGGTCCAGTTCTGATGCCTACATCCCCATTGAAGGCGCTTTCGGCGGTGGACAGGGATCACTATTAAATTTTTCAGAAATTTGAGATACAGTAGCACTTCTGTGTGATCAGACCAGACAGGCTAACCTTCACTCCCCACCTGCATCAATGAGTCTTGGGAAACCATGACCATGGTTGTTTAGGTAGGTACAAACCACTACAAATCGGGAACACCCCACAAGATTTGACATTTCGGAGATACTCTAACCCAGTCGTCTAATCATCACTATATGACACTTGTCAAAGTCACTCAGATCTTTTCAATTGCCCGTTTGTCCTGCTCTAAACACATGAAATATAAGAACTGACTGTTCACTCGTTGCCCAATATATCTCACCCCTTAACAGATGCCATTGTAACCATATAATCTGAATGTTATTCACTTCACCTGTCAGTGGTTTTAATGTTGTGGATGATCAGTGAATATCACTTTTACATATTGTAGGACAGTTCAGGAAAATAAATGTTTGCAATACTAAGAGTTTAAACATTAAAGGAGGGAAATCATATCATTAATCAAGAAACAATCCAGCAGCATATGAATGCCGCACACTAAAGGGTAGAATGTTTTTCGTGAGCTGGCCATCCTCATGAAAAGTGATGTGTGTAAGAAAATATGTTGGACATTTCAGTGATCGAGTGTTCTGCAAAAACCTCAGTTTGTTGGCAGCTCTCTTTGGGTGCAGGTTCTTCCGATCAGGTTTTTTGTTGAATACTGGACCTAAGATCTCATCATCTAATTAAAATTCTTCTAATATAATAACAATAACAATAAAGTATTTAACCAGTAAAGGTACATTCAAATTACTCTGGTTTTCAAGTACGCCCTGGGGATGTTACCTAAGCCAAACATCCAGGGGTTGTTACTATATGTGCTCAATTTAACAAATGTCTCTTTCCTATATTGTCAGTGAAAGTGCCGTTTGTGTGTGAAAAATGCAAAACAACTGCACTTTCACGGACAATATAGTTGTTGTAATATGTTTTATGTTTTTCAAACACTGACATTTGTGTTAAGCGAAGTCTCCAAGTATAACAGTAAGCCCCATGTACAGGTTTTTCTTTTTCTTTTAAAGTTACAGGGTCAAATATAAGGCTTCCATTTCTGTTTTTTTTTCACATTGAAATTCGCCAGATTGGTTACGTTGACTTTGAGAGCGTTTGGTAGCCCAGGAATGAGAATTACCCCCATCATGGCATACCATTTGCAATAGTAGACAACCCAAGGTATTGCAAATGGGGTATGTTAAGTCTTTTTCTACTAGCCACTTAGTCACAAACACTGGCCAAACATTGGTCTAAATAGAAACGAACGGCTGTGATTGGTTAAGATTGTCAGCTGATTGCTTTGAGCCTATCATAAATTGCTGCGAAACGTTTATATTTTTATTTATATATTTACTAACTACCAAAAGCTAAAAGTTATGTTGTCTACATATTATTCCTATATTGGCATCTCCTCATCCAATACAAAGCCTGTGCACTTTGCCCACTAGATATGATAGGATGTGCTGATTTACTGATGCCTATGATAACTAGTTGTGTGTTTATTGATAGGCATTCCAAATACACAAGCATTGGGGAACAGAGTTCATAGTTCCACTTTCAATCACTCAATAAATCAGGAAGTCTTTGTTATCAGGTTTGGAGAGTTAAAGTATTAGCTAAGACAAAGTTAGATTTTAGAAGTCATATCATTGATTAAAGGGAAACTCCAGGCACCAAAACAACTTTATCTAAATGAAAATATTATGGTGCCAGGAGGCCCGTGGAGGCACTCTTACCTCAAAGGGTTAAACTGTTCTCTAGTGGTTTGACCCTTGAGCAGCGATGTCTACCTCCTACCTCCGCCGGCGGCATCCAGCTTCATCAATTTCATATTCAGGAAGTGCAGAGACCCGCTGGGCAGAAGCGCCACTGATTGGCTAAGAGAGGTCAGGTGAAGCTCTCAGCTAATCAGTGACTCCTTATTCACAAAGCTGACTTGGAAAGAAATATACCTTTCTCAAGCCAGTTTTGTGAATGAGAAGTCACTGATTGGCTTGATCCTTTAAGGACCACGGACGTACTAGGTACGTCCGACCAAAAACGATCCTTAACGCCCGCGGACGTACCTAGTATGTCCTTGCAGTCCTTATTACTTACCAGATCGCCTCCATTCCCTCGTCAGCGATCAGTGTTGCTCCCGGTCTGGGGGGACTGCCTGACAGCCCAGACAGTTCCCCCTCGGCAAATTAGGCCCCCGCGGTCGCTCTGAAAGAGTGGTCACATGGCCGCAATAGGTGCCTGTGTATCTGCCTGCAAGGGGACTGCCTAAACTGACATGCAGTCTCCCTGCATCTGTAAAATAAAATAAAAAATAGATTAGTAAATATAAATAAATATATATATATATATATTATATCGATGATAATGTATTTCTAGATATCATTATATATATATATATATCATACTAAGTGTATTTTTATATTAATATATACATATATTTATATAAAAATACACTTATTAAATTACACAGGTATATTTGTAGTATTGTATATATATTATTATACACGTAGACTTCAAATATATAAATATATATTATAATATATATTATATATATTATTATAAAATATAAATAAGTAAATAAAAATAAATAAAAAATGTAAATAATAAAAAAATTTGCTAAATTATATATATTTATGTAATTTTATTCGAACGATATCTTGATATTTATATATATTTATATCAAAATACACTTAGAATGAAATGATATATATAAATGTATATATAAATAATATATATATATCTCCATATACATAATTACATAAATATACACGTAGACTTCAAATATATAAATATGTATATATATTTAAATTCTACGTGCATATTTATGTAATGGTTTTACATAATTAAGTAATTTTATTGATTGCAATTTAAGGGACCTGCCTTACAACAAAGGCCGAAAAGTCCAGAGAATAAAATTTTTTGCTAGCACTGTATTTAACCCTGTAACTTTCCATGACACCCTAAAACCTGTACATGGGGGGTACTGTTTTACTCTGGAGACTTCGCTGAACATAAATATTAGTGTGTCAAAACAGTAAAACATACCACAGCAATACTATTGTCATTGAAAGTGAAGTTTTTTGCATTTTTCACACACAAACGGCACTTTCACTGATGATATCATTGTTGTACAAATACAAAAGGCTAAGTCCTGCGCTCACTCCCATCATTTCTGGGTGGCAGCAACGACCACAGTATACACCAGCCCCAACATATACAGTAAAAACCAAAGAAAATGTTCTTTCACCTTGCTTCCTTGAGCTTCTGGCAAAGATATCTCCACTGAGACAGAGAGGGGTATTTTTTATATACACCTCTATATACTTATTAACCCGCAATAGGGAACACATGGGATGGGCGGCAGCATTGTAACCTAGCTGTGTGATACACAAAGTGAATACAAATACAGAAGGATAAATCCTGCGCTCACTACCATCACTCATGGGTGGCAGCAACGACCACAGTACACATCAGCCACCATACATACAGTAAAAACCAAAGAAAAAGTTACCTGCGCTCTCTCCTAAATCCCAAAGTATTTGTAAACAAATGGAGGTCATTTAGTTACTCCGATGGCCCTAGGCGGGTCCTACACTGACCTTTCACCTTGCTTCCTTGAGCTTCCGGCAAAGATATCGCTAAAGATATCATTGTTGTGACACGTTTTACTATTTTAAAAACACTAATATTAGTGGTCAGCGAAGTCTCCCGAGTATAAAAGTACAGATTTTATAGTGTTTTTGAAAGCTACAGGGTCAAATATAAGGCTTGATTTTCCATTTTTTTCACATTGCAATTTGCCAGATTGGTTATGTTATCTTTGAGAGCGTATGGTAGCCCAGGAATGAGACTTACCCCCCATAATGGTATACCATTTGCAAAAGTAGACAACCCAATGTATTGCAAATGGGGTATGTTCAGTCTTTTTCAGTAGCCACTTAGTCACAAACCGTGGCCAAAGTTAGCGTTCATAATAGTTTTTTGCATTTTTAACACACAAACAAATATAAATGCTAACTTTGGCCAGTGTTTGTGACTAAGTGGAATACCCTGTGAAAATTGAATACCCTGGGTTGTCTACTTTAAAACAAATATGTACATGTGAGGTGTGATTCAGAGATTTAGGACAGATAACAGTGTTACATTGTCACTATTGATACATTTAAAAAATATATATTTGGAAAAAGCAATGTCCTACTTGTACTTATCGCCCTATAACTTGCAAAAAAAAAAAAAAAAGCTAAGAACATGTTTACATTGGGTATTTCTAAACACAGGACAAAATTTAGAAACTATTTAGCACGGATGGTCTTTTTGGCGGTTGCAGATGCGTAACAGATTTTGGGGGTCAAAGTTAGAAAAAGGGTTTTTTTTGTTTTATTTCATCATATTTTACAATTTTGTTTATAGTGAATTATGTGTTATGATAAAAATAATGATAACTTTAGAAAGACCATTTAATGGTGAGTAAAACGGTATATAATATGTGTGGGTACAGTAAATTAGTAATTACAGCTAAACACAAACACAGCAGAAATGTAAAAACCAGCCCTGGGCCTTAACGGTAAGAAAATTCAAAAACGGTCTGATCACTAAAGGAGTTAATTTAGATTAAGTTGTTTTGGTGCCTGGAGTGTCCCTTTAATTTGTTCTATATTTTATCATAATGATGCAGACGTTAGCAAAACAAAATCTTCATTGTGATTGATTAGTATACCATCAAGGTGTGGCTAGTGCTGCATAAACAAATAGATTTAACTCCTAAATGGCAGAGCATTGAGCTATGAGACTGCAGGGACATGATCTATACACCAAAACCACTTTGCCAAGCTGTTAAGCTTGTTGGTTAGAGTGTCCCAATAATAAAGTCTTAATTGATCTCTCTCTCTCTCGCTATATATATATATATATACATATACATACACTGCTCAAAAAAAGGGAACACAAAAGTAACACATCCTAGATCTGAATGAATTAAATATTCTTCTGAAATACTTTGTTCTTTACATAGCTGAATGTGCTGACAACAATATCACACAAAAATTTAAAAATGGAAATTACATTTTTCAACCCATGGAGGTCTGGATTTGGAGTCACACTACAGGCTGATCCAACTTTGATATAATGTCCTTAAAACAAGTCAAAATGAGGCTCAGTAGTGTGTGTGGCCTCCACATGCCTGTATGACCACCCTATAACGCCTGTGGATGCTCCTGATGAGGTGGCGGATGGTTTCCTGAGGGATCTCCTCCCAGACCTGGACTAAAGCATCTGCCAACTCCTGGACAGTCTGTGGTGCAACGTGACGTTGGTGGATGGAGCGAGACATGATGTCCCAGATGTGCTCAATTGGATTCAGGTCTGGGGAACGAGCGGGCCAGTCCATAGCATCAGTGCCTTCGTCTTGCAGGAACTGCTGACACACTCCAGCCACATGAGGTCTAGCATTGTCTTGCATTAGGAGGAACTCAGTGCCAACCACACCAGCATATGGTCTCACAAGGGGTCTCAGGATCTCATCTCGGTACCTAATGGCAGTCAGGCTACCTCTGGCGAGCACATGGAGAGCTGTGCGGCCCCCCCCAAAAATGCCACCCCACACCATTACTGACCCACTGCCAAACCGGGCATGCTGGAGGATGTTGCAGGCAGCAGAACGTTCTCCACTGCGTCTCTAGACTCTGTCACGTCTGTCACATGTGCTCAGTGTCAACCTGCTTTCATCTGTAAAGAGCACAGGGCGCCAGTGGCGAATTTGCCAATCTTGGTGTTACATAGAAACATAGAATGTGACAGCAGATAAGAACCATTCGGCCCATCTAATCTGCCCAATTTTCTAAATACTTTCATTAGTCCCTAGCCTTATCTTATAGTTAGGATAGCCTTATGCCTATCCCACACATGCTTAAACTTCTTTACGGTGTTAACCTCTACCACTTCAGCTGGAAGGCTATTCCATGCAACCACTACCCTCTCAGTAAAGTAATACTTCCTGATATTATTTTTAAACCTTTGTCCCTCTAATTTAAGACTGTCCTCTTGTTGTGGTAGTTTTTCTTCTTTTAAATATAGTCTCCTCCTTTTACTGTGTTGATTCCCTTTATGTATTTAAATGTTTCTATCATATCCCCCCTGTCTCGTCTTTCCTCCAAGCTATACATGTTAAGATCCTTTAACATTTCCTGGTAAGTTTTATCCCACAATCCATGAACCAGTTTAGTAGCCCTTCTCTGAAACCTCTCTAAGGTATCAATATCCTTCTGAAGATACGGTCTCCAGTACAGTGTACAATACTCCAAGTAAAGTCTCACCAGTGTTCTGTACAATGGCATGAGCACTTCCTTCTTTCTACTGCTAATACCTCTCCCTACACAACCAAGCATTCTGCTAGCATTTCCTGCTGCTCTATTACATTGTCTGCCTACCTTTAAGTCATCAGAAATAATCACCCCTAAATCCCTTTCCTCATATGTTGAGGTTAGGACTCTATCAAATATTCTGTACTCTGCCCTTGGGTTTTTACGTCCAAGATGCATTATCTTGCACTTATCCACATTAAATGTCAGTTGCCACAATTCTGACAATTTTTCTAGTTTACCTAAATCATTTGCCATTTGGCTTATCCCTCCTGGAACATCAACCCTGTTACATATCTTAGTATCATCAGCAAAAAGACATACCTTACCATCAAGACCTTCTGCAATATCACTAATAAAAATATTAAAGAGAATGGGTCCAAGTACAGATCCCTGAGGTACCCCACTGGTGACGAGTCCAAGCTTCGAATATATTCCATTAACTACAACCCTCTGTTGCCTGTCACTCAGCCACTGCCTTACCCATTCAACAAGTGTTCTCTGGCAAATGCCAAACGTACTGCACGATGTTGGGCTGTAAGCACAACCCCCACTTGTGGATGTTTGGCCCTCATACCACCCTCATGGAGTCTGTTTCTGATCGTTTGAGCAGACACATGCACATTTGTGGCCTGCTGGAGGTCATTTTGCAGGGCTCTGGCAGTGCTCCTCCTGTTCCTCCTTGCACAAAGGCAGAGGTAGCGGTCCTGCTGCTGGGTTGTTGTTATATATATACAGTTGCAAGAAAAAGTATGTGAACCCTTTGGAATGATATGGATTTCTGCACAAATTGGTAATAAAATGTGATCTGATCATCATCTAAGTCACAACAATAGACAATCACAGTCTGCTTAAAGTAATAACACACAAAGAATGAAATGTTGCCATGTTTTTATTGAACACACCATGTAAACATTCACAGTGCACGTGGAAAAAGTATGTGAACCCCTAGATTAATGACATCTCCAAGAGCTAACTGGAGTGAGATGTCAGCCAACTGGAGTCCAATCAATGAGATGAGATTGGAGGTGTTGGTTACAGCTGCCCTGCCCTATAAAAAAACACACACCAGTTCTGGGTTTGCTTTTCAGAAGAAGCATTGCCTGATGTGAATGATGCCTTGCACAAAAGAGCTCTCAGAAGACCTACAATTAAGAATTGTTGACTTGCATAAAGCTGTAAAGGGTTATAAAAGTATCTCCAAAAGCCTTGCTGTTCATCAGTCCGCGGTAAGACAAATTGTCTATAAATGGAGAAAGTTCAGCACTGCTGCTACTCTCCCTAGGAGTGGCCGTCCTGTAAAGATGACTGCAAGAGCACAGCGCAGACTGCTCAATGAGGTGAAGAAGAATCCTAGAGTGTCAGCTAAAGACTTACAAAAGTCACTGGCAAATGCTAACATCCCTGTTAGCGAATCTACAATACGTAAAACACTAAACAAGAATGGATTTCATGGGAGGATACCACAGAGGAAGCCACTGCTGTCCAAACAAAACATTGCTGCACGTTTACAGTTTGCACAAGAGCACCTGGATGTTCCACAGCAGTACTGGCAAAATATTCTGTGGACAGATGAAACCAAAGTTGAGTTGTTTGGAAGAAACACACAACACTATGTGTGGCGAAAAAAAGGCACAGCACACCAACATCAAAACCTCATCCCAACTGTGAAGTATGGTGGTGGGGGCATCATGGTTTGGGGCTGCTTTGCTGCGTCAGGGCCTGGACGGATTGCTATCATCGAAGGAAAAATGAATTCCCAAGTTTATCAAGACATTTTGCAGGAGAACTTAAGGCCATCTGTCTACCAGCTGAAGCTCAACAGAAGATGGGTGTTGCAACAGGACAATGACCCAAAGCATAGAAGTAAATCAACAACAGAATGGCTTAAACAGAAGAAAATCTGCCTTCTGAAGTGGCCCAGTCAGAGTCCTGACCTCAACCTGATTGAGATGCTGTGGCATGACCTCAAGAAAGCGATTTTACACCAGAGATCCCAAGAATATTGCTGAACTGAAACAGTTCTGTAAAGAGGAATGGTCAAGAATTACTCCTGACCGTTGTGCACGTTTGGTTGAAGTTATTGCTGCCAAAGGAGGTTCAACCAGTTATTAAATCCAAGGGTTCACATACTTTTTCCACCTGCGCTGTGAATGTTTACATGGTGTGTTCAATAAATACATGGCATCATTTCATTCTTTGTGTGTTATTAGTTTAAGCAGACTGTGATTGTCTATTGTTGTGACTTAGATGATGATCAGATCACATTTTATGACCAATTTGTGCAGAAATCCATATCATTCCAAAGGGTTCACATACTTTTTCTTGCAACTGTATATGCCTCATGACTATTTTCTGGTTGTCTCTGTAAGCATACCTTGTTCAGTTATACAAATCACACATTTTTCACATGCTTATTAAAACACAAGGTGAAGGATTACATTTGCTTTTATTAAAAATAAAACAAAGAATAGAAAAATAAGCAGCAACAGTAAGAAATATTTTTTTTGTCCAAATTATACATCAACTTGTGACATCTTTGCTTTGGAATGTAGCTTTTCATTGCCAAGACTTGAAAAATATTAAATATGGGAATATATGCAACATTTCAGCTTGTGAAAGTTCATAAGGGTCCACTTTTACACACACATACAGCAGGTTCATGCAAACAGATATAAATACACACAAAATATTGCACATTGGTATACAGAGAACACAAATATTTGCACATATAACTTTTGTGGTCGTATTTTTAGTGCAACATTCTATATATGTTGATATTTATGTGTATAAAGCTTAAAGCACATTTGTATGTATGTAGATATATCAATATTTTAACAAATGTACACAGACATTAGACAATAGATGTCCCTGATGACTCAATTTTTAAAGAAAAAATATAGTTTTGGAAATGTCAGTTTACAATACTATTTAAGAATTCTATGTATACAAAATGGCCCCCCAATCTCCAGCTGGTTGACAGAAAAAATATATTTCTCCTTAAATACCCATGATAACCAAAGTTAAAATTCCCCAATGCTGCAATGTGACTGAAATAGTTTAACTATGCTGCTTTTGATTATATCTTAAGGTTTCTTTATACTTTTGGCTACTGGATGATCAGTTTATCTGGTATGTAAAATTGTAATTTGCAGGAATGAAGAGGCTAGTGCAGTAAGTAAGGGGTCTTACATCTAAGGGCTTTTTGTGCATCCCCCGGATTCTACCCCAAAAAGGCACAAGAAGCTTTAGGAATGGCAATAAGGCACCTACATTAAGATATAAAAAATATGCAATTATCAGGAAGGATAGTTAACCATTAACAATTAGTCCCTTAAATAAGAGACTGTAATACATTACATACTTTCAGCAAGTTCATATTTTGAAATATTTCTTATCATTGAAAGAGTTCTTATACAGAGTACAATGTGCCATTTCAAGGAACAAGGTTAGTTACAGAAAATCATTTGCACTGACTAACTAAAGCTCAATCTCATGAGTCAATCCAAATGATTAGGCAACTGATTAAAAAGAAATAAAGTCCAATAAATTCTTAGATCTTGTAACATGAAGGGTTTATTAATGTAACAAGATGTAAGAATATATTGTACTTTACTTAACCCAGAGGCCTGAAATTCCCAAAACATCATACAAAAAGTGTGAGTAGCAAATACAGAAAGCAAAGATTTATTGAGCAATATATTAAAGGACAACTGTCGCCTCAAAACTATTTTTTAATATAATAATCCTTTCATCGCGTTTCGAAAATAAATAGATTTTTTTTAAATTAAGTATATGTTGAAAACAAGAAAGAAATATGAGAAATAGCCATCCCTATTTTTAGTATATGACAGAATCCTTTAGCCATATACATGGATCTTGGGTCAGACAGTGATTGAAAACCAACAGTTAGTCTCTATGGTCTTCCTTGCTTCACTCCCTGCACAGAGGAAGACCAGGAAGACTGTTGGTTTTCAAGATCAACGTATATGGCTGAAGACTGCTGTCACATACTAAACGCAGGCATTAGTTTCTCATGTTTTCAACATATACAATCTATTCCTTTCAAAACTTAAAAAAAAGGATTATTGTGTTAAAAATAGTTTTGAAGTGGCAGTTGCCCTTTAAGGCTCAAAGGATGAATTAGACATTTAATATGTGACTATCCTTTCACCATCATGCCCTCTGACACATTAGAAGCCATAGTATTCTGTCCAATATTGCAACAACAAATTTTACTGTTAACAAATTGGTTTTGAAATACTTTTCAGTTTTGGCTGTATAACGTTCACTTATAATAGGTGCAGTTATCAACGTCTATTTTAGAAACATGGATCAAAATCCACACAACATAGTTTCGTCAATCTGTCCCAATTTTAGAGTTATTTGACCCTGACTTTTTATAGTTGTAGAGGAACCCTTCCTTACAACACAGTTAATGGAATGGTTACTTACACTTCTTCAACTCAGTGTGTTAAATTGTTGCTTTTGAAAAAGTGCACAGTCCAAATACAGATCCCTCCAACAATAATTGTAATGGTACACCCCTTATGTCTAGGGTGACTGTAGTAGGTCCTAACCACCTATGTTGTATTGTGTGCATATTTGTACTCTGTCTGGTAAATTCTGGAATTGGAATGAAGAGGTCCTGTGTAGCGGTGGCATCTCCAGAGTGGATATAACTGTGCTAAAGGTGGGCATTTTTGCAATTAGAGGCAGGGCATGGAGGGGATCAAGTGCTCTTATTATGCCTGGTCAATGCTACTTGTGTTTTTTCTTTTCAGGAGGAGCTCCTGCTGCAGTCTCAACTATACGACGGGTCGAATTTCCCATTCGGTTAGTGGCCTAAAGAATGAGAAAGTGACAAATAAAAAAACTTATCTATACGTACACAAACATAAACAGTAGCTTGTATATCTTTAGCATACTTTCTCAAAGATAGACATAAAAACCTGAATGTAATCAATGATTTAAAAAAAAAAAAAAATTAAATTAAAATTACAAATACATGGGTTAGTCTTAAAGAGTGAAAAACATTTGGCATTTGAGGACTGCAATGCAAATTAAAATTACATTGTACTCCACTGACAAAGATAGTGATAAGAGGCAGTGCAACATTGGTGATATCTCCTTCTGGCAAAAGGCAGGCAGGACACTGTATAAAAAAATAAAACAAATATATATATATATATATATCTACTAATCTATCCTGTCTGGAAATTACCCATAGCCATGTTATACTTGACAAACCTTTATTTTGTTTTACTTATGTTGTATTGTTAAATGCTTCATGTACAATCTTGACTCCGCATCTGTTCTGAAACAATTGCCTGACTTGTGTGTTGTATTTAACATTCACAATAAAAAAGTGTTAAACAAAAATACGAAAATTCTGGGGGGGAAATTATTTGTATATTTTTTAAAAAGGTTAAGCCCCTCCCCCCTTTCAGGTGCTAAAATTACCCAAAGACAAAAATACCCTAGAAAGTACACAAGCTGAAATCATGCAAAAATAATGAAATAGGGCAGGGAAATAGAAGTGCACTGTCTCTAATTTTAAGGAAAAAGAAATTTATGGTAAGTAAAATTTTTGTCTTTCCCCAGCTAGATTAGAGGCAGAAACAACACTAGGGATAAATAATCAATCTCATAAGGCGGGAACATTGGGACTTCACCACTGCTTGAATCACCTTGTGCCCAAATATAGTATCCTCAGAGGCCTTATTTTAACATCGAAACAAATGGAATTTTTTTTCTTCCTCGTTGTGTGGGTTTTGACAGAAAGTAGGCAAAATGATTTCTTGACTAATGTTGTAAACTGATGCCACCTTACGAAGGACCACCTTATCCAAAAGAAAAGTCGGATAAAGATGTTAGGCTGAAAGTACTTGAACACCGTTTTCCAGGTTATAATACTTAAATAGCAATTCTGTAATTGATCAAATGGAGGTTCGCAGCGTACTGACAGAACCAAATTAAGATCCCAAGGTGGATTCATTTTTCTAATTGTAGGAAGAAAGTTAGAGACTGCTCTGATGAATTTGGCCACCAGGGAATCAGAAGCTAAATCTCCGAAGGAGTAAAAACTGATTGAAGAGACTTGAACATGGAGAGAAGAAGGAAGAAATCTCAGGAGGCGAGGGACAGGTGCTGTGATGGGATTAACCTTCAGACCAAAACAAGAAGAAGAAGAAAAAGAAAAAAAAAACAAACCAACAACCTTTTCCAAATTCTTGCGTATATTGTACTAATGGAATCTTTCTTGTCTACTACAAAAAATATCTATCATTTCAGGGCTTAAACCTTCTGAATTTAGGATTTTCTTTTCAGAAAGCAAGATGTGAGCTTGAATATTTTTCAAGGTCTGCGAATACACTAGGTCGTATTCTAGAATTTTCAAAGATGAAGGTGACAGAAGGAAATACTAATAAGAAGAGAACGTTAACTTTACCAGGGACAGAAAGCAATTATAGCAATAACTGTAGCTGTGTCATGGACTATCTTCTGTAAGACTCTCAGAGTTAACAGGACTGGAGGGGAGATGTATGTCAGATGAAGATCCCAAGGAATCGCTAGGGCATCATACATTTCATAATGAGAAGACTGATCTCTATCCCATTCTGAAAGGATGTTTTTCTGTAATCGTCACATACTTGCTCATGGATGGCTGGAATTGCTGAAGTGAAAAGACCCAGTACGGTGTTCTTTTTTAAAGCCATTATTAAATTAATCTGCTTATAGATTTGGCTCTCGTGAAGATTTTTTTGACCCACAGAAAAGAAGGCCCAGAAACTGAATTTTCCTCAAGGGAACTAGATGTGACTAATGTAGATTTAGGAAAAAAATCCAGCCATTGGTATTAGAATATCGTTATTTTGTTTACCCATAAACTTGCCTTTATCTAAATATCTGTACCCAAAAGGCTGTCTCTGATAGTTGCAAAAACAATGTCTGTACGAAGATCAGGTTTTGTTAAAAATCTCTTGTCCCATCATAGTTGCTTTTCTTCTTCTACAAGAGCCTTTTTCCCACCTGCCATTTGTAAATTGTCCTGCTGAGAGCTGGAAAAGCATGCCTTGTTCAAAAGGCAGATCACAAAGAGTGTATAGAAATGGAGTCCACTGACCAGCCTCTAAGCCAGACAGGCCATCTGGCCACTGCAGAAAGCCCCATAGGTTTAGCTGAAAATGTAAGAGCTTCTGAAGTAGTAGTTTAAATAGTCTCCAAGGTCTTTCCTGTATGAATTTGGTGCTAAGATTGCATTGCGCATGCACATAGCAAGCCGCAACCTCCAGGTGGAACGCACAGTAATCAGTACATGCATTCCACCTTAAGGACCTCCCACTAGTGCATCCAAGCCCAACCACGCCACTTCCAGCACAAGCACCCAGCGTGCATTCCAACTATTGAAGAGGGAAGAACCAAGTCCACATGTAGAGCTGGTTTTCAGACAAGCAGAGCCTTCGCTGGCCATAGCCATCTAACCCCGCCTGGGAAAACAACAACAATGTAATTCCTACTTACCCTGCTAAAGGCAGGCAGACAACTGGGGCATTTTTGTCTTTGGGGGATCTTATAGTTTAAAGAGGAGGAGGAAGTGGAGGGGCTTAACTTTTAAAGTTTTTTTTTTTTTTTATTGAGTTCAGTCTGTCTTTTGCCAAAAGGAGATGGGGATATGCAGCGCCGGACTGGGACAAAAATTCAGCCTGGGCATTCACCAATGACAAGCACGCCCCTCTCAAAGTGAGCATGCTGGTTCAATGCACAGAGCTTTGCTGAAGAGCTCTTGCATGAAAAAAAGGTCACTTTGCATTGTGTGTGAAGGGTGCACTGTGTGTGAAGGGTGCACTGTGTGTGAGGGATGCAGGGCGTGTGAGGGATGCAGGGCGTGTGAGGGATGCAGGGCGTGTGAGGGGTGCAGGGCGTGTGAGGGGTGCAGGGCGTGTGAGGGGTGCAGGGCGTGTGAGGGATGCAGGGCGTGTGAGGGGTGCAGGGCGTGTGAGGGGTGCAGGGTGTTTGAGGCATGCAGGGTGTTTAAGGAGTGCAGGGTGTGTGTGTGAGGGGTGCACTGCGTGTGAAAGGTGTTGTGTGGTGTTTGGTGTGAGGGTGCAGTGTGTGTGGTGATTGTGTGTTTGGGGTGCAGTGTGTGTGAGGGGTGCAGTGTGTGTGAGGGGTGCAGTGTGGTGTGAGGGGTGCAGTGTGGTGTGAGGGGAGCACTGTGTGTGAGGGGTGCAGTGTGGTGTTTGGGGTGTATGTGTTAAGGATGCACTGTGTATGTGTGAAGGGGGCATTGTGTGTGATGGGTGCTGTGTGGTGTTTGGGGTGCAGTGTGTGTCTGTGTGTTTAGGGTGCTCTGTGGTGTGAGGGGTGCTGTGTTTGAGGGGTGCTGTGTGGTGTTTGGGTGCAGTGTGCGTGGTGCACTGTGTGTTTGGGGTGCTCTGTGGTATAGTGTGGTGTTTGGGGTGTTGTGTGATGTTTGGGGTGTAGTGTGTGTGAGGGGTGGAGTGTGGTGTGATGTTTGGGGTGTAGTGTGTGTGAGTGTGTGTGAGGGGAGCTGTGTAATGTTTGGGGTGTAGTGTGCGTGTTTGAGGGGTGCTGTGTAATGTTTGGGGTGTAGTGTGTGTGAGGGGTGTAGTGTGGTGTTTGGGTGTAGTGTGTGTGTGAAGGGTGCAGTGTGGTGTGAGGGGTGCAGTAATGTTTGGGGTGTAGTGTTTGTGTGTGAGGGGTGCAGTGTGGGTGTTTGGGGTGTAGTGTGTGTGTGTAAGGGGTGCAGTGTGGTGTAGTAGGGTAAAACATTTTAAAAAAATTATTATATTTATGTCGCCCCTCCCTCGTTGCCAGCCCTGGTGGTCCGGTATGAAATCCCTGGTGTTCCAGTGAGGAGTGAACTCTACCCTGCAGTTCCTGGGGTAGATTTCACTCTCGGGAGATGCAGCAATGCTCCAACCTCTCAAGAGGAACCCGGCGAAGCTGCAGGATAGAGCTCCCCCGCATCTCAGTGCCTGTGGGCCGTTGGGGAGATAGTTTGTCTCCCCACCGGCCCATGAAGGCACACAGCAGGGCCGGCGCTCGGATAGTGTCGGCCCTGCATGGGCAGGCAGGGAAGATACACTGATCTACCCTGCTGGCCTCGGCCCATGGTCATTGCGGCCCACCTGGAATTTGCCCACTATGCCCGATGGCCAGTCCGGACCTGGTTAAATGTATCCCCAAACATTGCACTGCCTCTAATCCGGTGGGTAAAGAAAATAATGTCATGTTCAGCTAGCCAACCAGTGTAAAACATCCTCTGGTTAAAAGGTAAACATGTTTCTACCCAAAGTGATCATTTGTGCACCCATATCTCATAGCAGAAGTTAAAAGGACACTATAAACACCAAAACAACTTTAGCTTAATGAAGCAGTTTTGGTGTATAGATCATGCATCTGTAAAATAAATCTATATTTGCTTTTTTAACAACATTTCAGACTCTGTGTGAAATATTGCATGATAATGGACACTGTACATTGTCTAAAGCTTTTCAATTGCCAAACATTTTTATAAAGGCTGAACAAATAAATGAAAAATAAAATTGTGTAGATATTCATAAGGATTGTGAAGATGTCTTTCTCCTTACCTGTTCAAGAACATACTCTGCACTGGAATCGATGACACCGCCGAGGTCTCTGTACTGTCCAGAGTATTTGATGTAGCCCCATGTGAGAAGAGCAATGAGTAGCAGACCCACACCACAATTAAACAGCTGTGCAATGATTTCGAGCCCCACAAAGCCTGTTATACCAGAGGCCATGTACAATGCAGCCACCAGTGCAAAAAGCACTGCAGGGGTACGGAAGGCAGTGAAGATGTTTTTGCTCTCGTTGTGCTTGCAGAAAGCATCGTAAACTTCATTCAAATCTTTCACAAGCTCCTCTCGGTACTGTTGACTGAACTCCACACCACCCATCTTCTTTGCACGATCGAATTGAGCCAGGGCCTCCTTGCTGCAGGTGGAGTGGCGATCACGCAGCATGTCAGGGGATACATAGGGTTTGTCCCCACCACAGATCTAGGTGAAAATAGAGTGGAAAAGCATTTTAACAAAAAAAGGTACACTTTATGTAGAACAAACAATTATAAGGATAAATGAAATTGGAAAAAAAAAGTGGTAAGATATGAAACCATTTATCACAAATTTGTGGTTTTGCACAACTTCCTTTAACAGGTAAATTATTGCTTATTTCAACCTTTAGAAAGATAAATAGATAGATTCACACACACTCAAAAAAAAAGGTATATACAAGATATATACATAAATAGGTATACCACCTATTGTAGACGTAAGTATGTTGGTTACATCTGAAAAACAAATGGAACATACATAGTGCTTTCCATATAAATTAAAATAAACAAGGGGGCGGGGCCTGACAGCCAAAATGGCCGGACGTGCTCTCTAAGAGCTCTTACACTGGAGGGCACAAAAACGATAATCCTGGCAAGCCGAATTAAGCCAACAGCCCACGGAGTCCAGAAACCGATATAGAACCACACGAGGAACAAAACGGTACAGGTCATGCACCACAGCGACTCACGAGCACATGTACCGGCCATGTGGCCTAAACTGCAGCGGAGCCTGAAGCCTGGGGGAGGCGGCCGATCGCCCGGCAAGGGACCTGCTTGCAAGCGAGAACTACAAGATGCCCAGCTACCCTCCCCTCTGGACCGGCGGGGGATATCCCGGTCCTCGCTGGGGACGATTACCCCCACAGCAAGACCCGAACAAGCGACAACACATGCGGGTAAACGGGACTGCCAAGGCCCAAACAAGATGGCGCCACAGGCGCGACAAGCGACAAAAGGCTCCCCTACCAAACCACCTGTTCACACGCTGGACTTCTTTGAACGTCTCTGCACAAGCCTATGGTATGGGCTCCGCAATAGGCGCCGGCTCTTCAAACAAGCGAGAAAAGAAGCGGCGGCATGGATTCGTCCTGCCACCCGACGCCTCTTGAGTGGTTGCCCGACCCGAGTCCCCAGAAGGGCCCTCAGACAGAGAAGAGGCGGGAGTTCGGAAGGGGGGAGAGAGGGGAACGGCTCCCTAGGCTCCAACAACAGTAACCACATATGGCAGCACAAAATAGCCACACACACCCGACCAACTCACCGCCCAGCGGCATCTGAAGTCTCTGACCACTGCAGCATGTACCCACACTCCTGGACGCACGCTGAACACTCATACCAAGCACCTAACACCCCGGGGGCGACCCGACGCCAGCAGCAAGGTACACCCAAAAGACCCCGTCAACTCCTGCACATTCATCGACCTCAAACGGAGATCCAGGGGCACAGACAACGGGGAGCTGTGGGACCACATCTTTCCCAAAGACTGGACCGTGACCTGCCCCTCACAGGCATAGGCTAAGCTGAGCTGACAAGCGGAATTCTTTGGGAATTATTATTGACCAAATATGTTTTTCTTCGGAATGCTGATTTGATTTTTATTTTTTATTTACTTTTTATTTTTATTTTTAGTTATTGTTCTTTTCATGTGATTATACCAGCAGTCCTGATAGCTGATATATCTCTTCTCCTTTTTCTTGACTCTCGATTGATAATGCCTTTATCTACCACTCCAAGGGGGCCCCCTAGGGTGAGCAAGTTGACAGCCCAGAAATAAGCAATACGTTATCTCCATATCTTAATATGCTGTTTTAATGGTTTAGCACCCCTTTACTGTGGTCACCCCACTGCAGCTCCAGACTAGAGTGCAATTTAAACCCAAGAGCAAGCAGCTCAGACCCATTGTGAGACAGGGAAAATACAGGGAGCATAATGGGGTATTGGTCTACTTAAATAAGCGTATATTGCATAGCATCCCAAAGTTCTAGCCATATACAAACCTAACCAAAAGTATGCCACCTCACCATAGTTTTATTCGTCCCATAGCACTCAAACCTATACCAGTTCTATTAACCCCTCGCAGTTGGTTTAGCCTGTCTTGAACCCTCGAATAGTTGCCAAACATTATGTACCCAAAGTTATGCATGTCTAACAGTGAACGCTTCTAAATAAGCTATGATTAACAGATACTATCTGCTACTAATCTATGTTAAACACGACTTCATCTCCTAACTAAAAATTGTGCAAGTACCAATGTATACTCCATTGTTCTTGATGTTTGCAAAGCATGCGGATTGCCTTTGGGGTACCCCGTGCACATATGTTATTCCAAATGCACTGCAAAAATAAAGAATTTAAAAAAAAAATTTAAAATAAACAAGTTATAATATATGTGGATTGAACTCACAAAAGTGGAGCCTCATAGGCTCTATGCACATCACTCTTGGGTGCCTATTCAGGCTCTCGATAGATTCCTGTTGGAAGAACTCGAGGTCCACAGTAGTAGATGTAGATACAAATTTATTGAAATAAAATATTGAAATAAAATATATAAATAACTAGGGACAAGGCAGGTATAATCATGAAATATAATACAGTATTGCACCGCAAATATGGCCAAAACTTTAAAGCAGTGGAACACTACAATATATAAACAATAAGAAAATACCGCCAGAAAAAAGTCCCAATAGAGAAGTCCAGTACTGGACTTTTATTTCAATAAATTTGTATCTACATCTACTACTGTGGACCTCGAGTTCTTCCAACAGGAATCTATCGAGAGCCTGAATAGGCACCCAAGAGTGATGTGCATAGAGCCTATGAGGCTCCACTTTTGTGAGTTCAATCCACATATATTATAACTTGTTTATTTTAATTTATATGGAAAGCACTATGTATGTTCCATTTAATTTTCAGATGTAACCAACATACTTACGTCTACAATAGGTGGTATACCTATTTATGTATATATCTTGTATATACCTTTTTTTTGAGTGTGTGTGAATCTATCTATTTATCTTTCTATTTTGTCTTTGGGTGTTAAGGGATTACACCTTTTTTCACACTCACTCATATTGTTTGCATTTAAGGTTGGAAGCGCCTACACAACTATATACTTTTTGTATATTTTGTCTTGTTATTTCAACCTTTAACTGCAGAGAGCTCCAAGAGACTGGATGTCACGAGTAAGAGGGTTAATCTCCGAAGAGCAGAAACAGAAGATAAGGAATGCACTCATCCATACATAGCCCAAGTCGGTGCGCACAAACTGGAATAGGCACAGGATTTAATGCATCCCTTAGTTCAAACAACATCTAACTGAAGCTATCCCAAACTCCAGCCATCCAGATGTTGCTGAACTACAACTCCCATGATTCTCAGCCTATTTCATTGATAGAATCATGTGAGTTGTAGTTCAGCAACATCCGGAGGGCTGGAGTTTGGGGAGGCCTGATCTAACTCATGCAGCTTTCTTTGGGTAGTACACAAGCAACATGTCGGTCTCGCATTGAGACCTTTGTCAAGTTACCTCTGAAGAGTGTGCCATAGACCCTTCAGGCATTCAGTGGCAAGTAACTTTCATGCATGTCTAGTGGCATTGGACTTTTTATATTTGTAGTTATAGCTGTAGAAAAATTTGCCTACTGAATAAAACATAGAAAAGGCAAGGTATTTGCGATCTCAATCTTTATTTAGACTTTTATATACAAAAAAGATAAAAAAAAAAAAAACACGAATGTGCCAAATACCCTATAATGAAAAAGAAACAAACCCAATCTCAGGATGGGCAGGTTCAACTGCTACAATATCTTAAACGGTTTGTCAAATTAAAAACGTAATAAAGAGATCCTTTACTAATCGTTACAAGGGGTTACTAGTGCAAAGATCACAAGTTGATAAATGAGAGGGAAAGTAATCAAATTGCAATAGCTGTAACGTTATAGGTACACAATGTATAAGGAGATCGGACTGCCATTATGGGGTCAAGATGGAGTTTTATCCAAGTATTTTTAAAAAATTGGAAAAGGCTTCAAACTGGGTTATTGCCTTCTTTTGGATCAATAGCAAAACATATGTGAGAAAGGCCGAACTTGATGGATGCATGTCTCTTTATGTAACCATGTATCCATCTGCAAAGCCCACAAGCTAAATATAATGTTAACAGATCAGATCACATACTGAAAAATCCCTTTTGTAATTTGATATAACCGAAAGAGATATCAGACGTTAGGCTAGCTGAAATAGTTCATAAATAGCAGAAATTGTTAGGTGGTAACTAATCTATGTATCTACATCTAGGAAACTAAGTGATATTTTTTTAGATTAATTGTATCCACAAGAGTGGAAACGAAGTATTCAATCCGTACCATGCAAGCCTCCCTAGATTAGTAGGAGCTGTAGTGCACCCACTCTCCTTTTTTATTCCAATGGAGATACTGAAAAATACCTGGACAGTTGCTAGGTCATAAGCGTTACAGCTACTACAATTTGATTATGTTCCCATTTCTTTCTCAGCTTGTGATCTTCGCACTAGTAACCCCTTGTAACGATTAGTAAGGGAAGGGATGACATCTTTATTACATGCACTTTTAAGTTTACAAACCCGTTAAGATATTGTAGCAGTTGAACCTGCTCATCCAGAGACATTTACATGGGTTTGTTTGTTTGTTTTTTCACCATAGGGTATTTGGTACATTCGCGTTTTTTTTAAATATTTAGTATATAAAGGTCTAAGTAAAGACTGAGATAGCAAATACTTTGCCTGTTCCATGTTTTATTCAGTAGGCAACTTCTATTTGTGTGTGTTCCCCTTTAAGGTGTACACTGATGCATGTTTTTTTAACATATGGTATTCATAAAGGTTAAGGTATTGCCTGGGTTGGTCACCTGGCCCCTTTTTGGCTTCCTCTGATTACTGTAAGGTTTTGCCCAGGATTAAATATTGAAAATATTTGCATCCAAACCAATGCAGAGGATGCAGCCCATCGCTTCATTAATCTTAACTTAACCATTTCAATTTCTATGTTAGCACCTCCCACATTGTAATTTACCTTCCTCATCTTTATATTACTCAACTTTCTATTTTTCACTTTCACCTTCTTGGCTCTCATTCCTAATATACTTACTTCTTTCGGTTTTATACCTGCCCTTATTACACATATGTCCTTTCACTATCCTGTCTCTCCATCCCAACCCCAGCATTTAGCTCATACATTTAAATCCTATTGCAATCTTCTCCTACTACTCATCCTTCTGAATCTGGCAGCTGGTGACATCTTTTCAAACAGTGGTCCGTCCCCCACCGCACTCCACCTATACTAACCTCAGAAACCCAGGCAATCTTGTACCTTTATTATCTTTGGATTTGGTCTCACCTCTACACACCATATCCAGTCTGTCACCAAATCATTTGCTCATGTTGATAATTTCTTACTCAAGATACTACTAAGGAGCTTGCTCACAATTCCCCACGTTGATTACTGTAACTCTCTCCAGAACACATATTGCCCTCTACTGTCCTTAAAGGCACATGCCAGACGTATTATCCCTTATCGTCATTTCTCTCACACCACCTCTCCCGTTCCTTTTATGATTAATTTTACGAAAAAAAAAGATTATTTGTCTATACATTCCTCTCTGTTCTGCCACTGACCTTTGCTTGGCCTGTGTTTGCACTAATAATGCTTATTAACACCTATATTATTTCAGCTTGTCTCCTCCCATAAGGCCTACCCATAGTTTGCACTGCTTAAAAAATGTACTTAAAACTTATTATTTCAGATGACTCTGCTGCTAAAATACTTCAAAAGTTTTGATCGCTGTAAAATGTGTTTTTCAATGTCCTGTGTCTAAAAAATTTCACTACAGTTATACAATGTGAAATCCCTATCAGTTGCAAAATATGCATAGTTTCCAGTAAGTGTACTCAAAATGGGACTAAATAATTATTGGTATCAAATTACATTCAAATAGAGGAGAATTAGGCCGAAACGTAAAAGGTTTTGATGTATGTTTATGGAGACGATCATGCTTGACCTAAAAAGGCCCCTCTTTTATTGACTGACCTTTGTATTTGGAGAGCTGCACCTGGGAATATCCCTTTATACAGATTCACTTTATTCATATTTTACTTGTTGATTCAAGACATTATATTTACTCACCTCTCATTCAGTCAAGATATTTTTTTTTTTCTTATAAAGGAAACTCATACGCCCACTGTATAATCTGATATACAGCACAGTAGAACGAGACATGGTAAATGTAAAATTGGAAAAACACACATTTCAATAAATTTAGGATAGTTAAGGATGTTGAAATTTGGTGCTACTTTCACCTATGTGTTCAAATTTGTGTGCTCTCACTATTATATTGACTTGTATTTCTAGAGGTAAGTAGGATCTTACTGATGTTACATCAATAAAGTGCAAACTAGAACAGAGCAATGCAGATGTTTCAAGTGTGGCATACAAGCTCTGACTGGCTGAGCAGAGTACATACACAATGATGTATTCATTCATTTATTTTTAAAAAGAAAAAGCTTGGATATAGGGCTAAGTATGCTGCAGAAAACTGAAAATGTTATTTTTTTTATCTGCAAGCAAATTTGAACATGGAGGCAAAAAAATTATTTAAAAAAACAATAAAAAAAACCCCCAAAAGGCAGGAATGAGGCCAAAATGAATGAAATTGTGCTGGTACATCTGTAATACAAAATAGAACATAGCACAAATATTAAGCTATGCTAGAGAGACTATACTATCTATAAATAGTCAAATGCACTGGACAATTCAAGCAAATTAGCGTTCAACTGAGCATAAGAATATCCTACATTATGAAATCTTAAATTTGAGCTCTGTTCCAATTGAGCAGTGTTGTGCATCTGACAATCCATAGACCAGCTGCACTGTGAGTTTTACCTACTGCCCACAACCTAAACCACACGGGTTACACTCACTGACGTAACAGACCATTACAGTGTGTGGCAGTGTCTATGGTGCTTAGAATATCCATTTACATGCAGAAGAAAAAATAAAGATGGTAGGAAACCACATAAAAGTAGGGAAACTGCATGATTAATCATAATGGACGGATAATGTAGTGTTTGGAGAAAGATAAAAAATGCTTCTCAGGAGATCTTACCTGCTCCATGCGATTGTTGTACAAATCTTTAGCTGAAGCTACAGCAGCCAGATTATTGGCTTCGGCAGTGGCCTAAGGGTGAAGAGAGATTGGAATCATGTGTATTTTCTGAGTACAACTAGCAGATTACACTTAACATGGATATAATGACCATACCTGCAGCATAGATTTAGGATGAGGTAAATCTTCCCCTTGGTATATTTTAATGTAGGCCTAATGATGAAAAAACCCAATATTATTATTCATGAGACAAATATGCCAATAACAATGAGACTTTATACCATCAGCACCACATTATCCTGAAATCATACACAAAAATGAAGGTGACTACAATAAATGACATTATATAGTGTTTCCTGAATCCACTGCTTTTGTGTTTTTAGTTTTAATTGTCAATCACCAAAGAATAAAAACAAGAAAATAAGGTTATGTGGGGCAACTATAGTACTGGTCTAGAAGATTAAACCTTCTTTTTCTACATATAATAATATATCTTCCAACTCCGGAGTCCTCTCGGATGGAGTTAAACGTTTTTAGTAAGCGAGGGAGTAGTGTATCTGTTTATAGTACCTCAAAGGGAGGCTGACTGGTCCAGAACATTTCCCAGTCTTGGAGGATTCAAGGTGCCAGCTCTCCCTCTGTAAGGGGTTATACCAGAACCTGAGATCACTGTCACTCTTTGGTCAGGTAAATATTGTGGTTTACTCTCCACTGTGCGGATTCTGTGAATATATGCGGTTGCCTTCTGTTTACTGATCATGCGGGCCAAAAGTGTCCCACATTTGTTAGCATTAGAAAAGAAGAAGGATTTTGTCTGCAATAGGGCACTGTGGTAGTTAATACTGAGCAGTTTAGAAAGTTCTTGTCTAGCTAAAGCCAGATGTTGCCAGGTTGAGGAATTCTGGGAATAATTGTGGTGCTTTTCCAGGTGCCGAATTTCCTGCAATATATCAGGAAATGTGTGCGTTCTTGGTCCGCTTTAGAGTTGAATAAACCCTGACCCACGCATTTATGTGCCTCCCAAATGCAGAAAAGCAAAGTGTTTTCCCTATTATTGTCCTAGAAATATTGGAAAAGTCTCATCTGGGGCTCCTGTACCATCAGGGGATCCAAGAGGTGAGACTCATAAAGTTTCCAATTAACCCTGGTGCGCCTGTACAAGGGCGAGACAAATGTCACGAGGATTGGAGCATGATCAGACCAGGTGTTATTTCCAATTTGAAGCTATTGTAGCTCTGTCAGGTAGTAATGTTGGATAAAGAGGTAGTCCAATCAGGAGAAAGTTTTATTCGGAATTAAGTAAAATGTATAATCCTTCACGTCTATGTATAGGGCTGTCCAACAGTCAACTAGAGTTTGCTCACAGAAAAAGGTTTATATGATCTTTAGGATGAGTCGAGGAACCAAAGAGGTTCCCATAGAGATATGCAACATGGGCTCCAGTGGCTTGCTCCCTGTTAACTCCTTTAAAAGATAATAAAACTTACCTTATTTAGAGCGCTGTGCGGGTTTGCCGGCTCTGGCTCCACCTTGTTGACATAATCAGAACCCATGCTTTCCCATATGGAAAAATCGGCAACGAGCCAGAACAGGGGAGGGCCAAATGCCAGCTTGGCCAATCAGCACTTCTTCATAGAAATGCATTAATTCAATGCATCTGTTTGGGGAAATTTCTGTGCAGCACTATGCAGCACTGCCTCAGGAAGCACCTCCAGTGGCCATTCTGAAAAGGTAGTGTTTACATAAAAATACCTGCAGGGAATGAGCATACTCACCAGAACAACTACATTAAGCTGTAGTTGTTCTGGTGACTCTAATGTCCCTTAAAGGTCATCCCTCAAGACTAGACACCCTTAAGCAAAGCTTGACAGGGTCCGCATTGCTGACTTTAAAAACAGGTCCTGTGTTAAGTATTGTGCACAGTTGTTCTCTAGATTCCTCCCTTTTTGGTAAGCCCCACAGGTGGAGGTTCTGGCCCCGCCTCTATTATCTAAGATCTTCAATGTGCAAGACCATCTGCAGAAGCTGCGAAGTTTAGCACTCCATGGTGTTACAAAGTGGATGGCCCTAATCAAAGCCCTACCAAAACTACTAAAGCAGACCTGAAGGAGGCAACTGCATCACTATTGGCCACCCTCCCAAGTAAGGTCCTGTAACTCATTCCTCACCATCTGCAGCTCCGCATGGATTGAGGCCTGTAGTGATGCAGTTGCCTCCTTCAGGGCTGCTTTAGTAGTTTTGGTAGGGCTTTGATTAGGCCCACCCAGTCTGTGGTCCTTGCTGGGGAATCCACGCTTTAGTATGATAAGGGTGAACGCAGGGTGGCGGTCTCCAAGGTGCGTGGGTTGTGATGCGAGGTCCATCGTGTTGCGCAGGTATTGCTGCAGAGATGGAGTGATTGACGGCTGGCATGCCTCTTGCAACTAGGCTAAGCCCGCAGTGTGTGTATGGTTTCCCCATGTATAGCTCTACACCTGCAGAATTAGTGATGTGAAACCTGTGAGTCGGTCGTAGCCCCTATGCAAGCAGCCATCTTCGTCGGCTGCCTGCTCACCACCCTCTAAAAATCCTATTTTTTTTATTGCAATTATACCTGAAATATCGATTTATACACCTACACATCACATAATAAAATACAATGAACTACTAGATATTCATAAAAGATTTGGTAAAAGGATAAACGTATAACATTTTTTGACTTGTACTGCTCTTTATCGTAACCTAGGAAAACAACCTTCCTTCTTTGCAGATTCTCCTTACTTTCAATTGTTAATTAATACCAAATGCTCACCTTAAAGTATTCAAGCAGACCCCTACATGTCACCTTCGAACCATTAATCTCTTTTTCTATAAGGCTCTCAGGACCCAACACAAGAGGAACCAAGGCACGGAGTTCTTCAGTAAATTCTGCTGCAATATCTGTGGAAAGATAAGATTATGTAAACAAACTGTGGCTATGAAAAGTGAAAAACTATAATTGGAAATATGACTTTGTCAAGGTAATTGCAGATTAGCATAGACAGATGTGACGTAGGAGTTAACAATTCTGACATTTAGAGAGTCTAATAACAAACCTTTCAGACGGCCATCAAACTGAGGACTGGTTGCCACCTTGAGTCCAGGATGTGGAAGTAAAAAACAGCTCACATTGGTGAAACATGTTTGAATGTGTTTACGGACATTTTGTATCTCTTCATGTTGATGTTCTTTCACCTGTTAAACACACATACAGTAAACAAAAATCAAATTTCCACCCCAAACAAATACAGGGTTATTCAAAAAACTCAGAATTTTAGCAAATTACATCCAAATTGTAAACTTTAGGCACAAGTAGCTGACCCGAGTGGCACATCCGCTCTGTCTCCTCCCTCTGTGCCGCACTTTCCTCCGGCATTCTTCCTGACGCAGGCCACTTCGAATCCAAGCCCTTATATGGCTCTGTCTTCCTTGACCCGATTAATGATGCGGATTTGCGTGCAGACATCGCGCATGCACATTCTGACGTCAACCACTGCCCTCCTATGGCTATATAAGTTCATTGAGGCCGCTATACTGTACCCTGTCGTGGTTATCCAAGAGTGCGTTTACTATAGCTGCATCTAAGCTATCTCACCCCGGCTTGTATCTTGACCATTCTCCATTCTATTATCTTTGAACTATGGCTTGTCTATTTGTTTACGAAGTCTCTGTCTCCCTGAACGTGGTCTGTCTTGTAATACTCAATATAGTGTTAAGTCTGGCCACTCTAATGCCCTGTAATACATTTTAGTATTCCGGTTTGTATTTTGTTCACTTAAGTTCTGCGTGTCCATCCTGACACTGGCAAATATATCAAACTTGCAGCTTGTCTATTTAAGCCTCAATTTTACAAAATTGAATTAATCTGCTAAAATCTGGAATTAGTGAATAACCCTGTTAGTCAGCTACAAACAGCAACAAAAATACACAGCTATGAAAAAGTGCAACATTCAACTACAATTTATGATGCATAAAAGGCTCAAAATTTGCCCTTGCCCGCTAGCCATTGGTGAGGGAAAATGCAGGCCTGCTAAATAGAATTTCACTCCTGGTGAGTGTGCCATGTACCCTCTAAATTTGCAGTGATGATAAACTTTTAGGCCTTTCTAGTAACATAGGATATGAAAGTTTGAAACTTGATGTAGATATGGCAGCATCAACATCATCACATATGTTCTTCAAATCACATAGCCCTACCACACACAAGATACACAACCCACACATACATGTCTCTCCCCACCCACACACCACCTCTCACGCATACACAAAGCCTCTCCCACAAATACACACACACACACACACACACAATCTCTCCTCACGCATACAGCCATTCCCACATATACACACAGAGCCCTTCATGATAACACACAGAAACACGCACACAAACAGCCTCCCTCACCTATATATACACTGCCTTTCCCATAAACACACATTCAGTGCAAATAGTATAGGTTCTCTCTGTAATTTCACAAAGTGACAAAAACCATTATGGAGACCTGAGCAAGCTTTTGAGCGTTTCTGAGTTTTTGCCCATTCTCATACACTCTGTTTTTGCTTTGAGGCACACAATGAGTGGTGTGGAGAAAGTGGGAAATGCGGTTAAAATGAAAATGGCAAAGGAGAAAGAGAAACTTGCAGAGAAAAAAAAAAAGACAGAAAGGGTAGAATGAGTCAGATAGAATCTTACTAAAAAGTAAGAGCACTGGCTGGCACAGAGAGAAACTAGAAAGGGAAAAAGAGTAGTGTGAAGGGAGATTCGGGATACACAAGAGGGCAACAAAACCAGATTTTTGCCTAGGGCAGTGAAATTCCTTGTACCCACCCAAACTAATACATCTGCTCCCCCACCCCTCCACACACACATTAAGAGCTACTTCTGCTAAGATTTAAAAGCACTGCTGTGGTATGAAGAGCTCCCCTCATATCCACCTTGAGAGCAGGTAGTATGTTTAAACATAAGCAGAAATATTTTAATACCCAGAAATTTGCTTAAAATGAGCAACTCACTGACGTCTCCTAAGTTATCATCTTCCATCTTTTATTCTACAATCAAATGTCATCTTTATCTGGCAATGTTCTCACTCACACACACACATAAAATAACCGTATCCTTCCTTTACAGATGTTATTCTACTAGATTGTTTAATGATATTGTAGAAAGTGTGACATACAGCGGTGGTCTATTGGCTGACTGAAAATTATGATTAAGAAAATTAATGGTGGGAGCTGCCAACGTTGCACTACTTGTCTAAAATTAGAATTTGCACATTGGGTCATGATACTTTATGAAATTTGTACTTTAAAAACACAAAAAACTAATATACTTGTATATCATACTGCTCGTGCGCAGACACACACACACACACACTTTACCTTTAACCTCTTCTCTAGGAATTTCATCCCTCCTTTTGCTCCATAATGGTATTCATAAGGAAAGCTCCAGTCTCTAATCAAAAACATCAGAGTCTGTAGGGAGTGGAATTCAACATGCACATAATTAAATTCATGCTAAATAAATGTGACCTAAATAAAAGTCTTGTTTAAAGAAAAAGAAGAAAGAAAAAAAAAGAATTTCAATGAAACGTATTCAAATTTAAAAAGTTTAGCTCCCTACTACAGCAAAATTTAAATTACATCAAAATACAATGCATTCTATTCTTTCACTTTTTATGTTGTAGCCTCATGCTACAACTGTTTACATTTCTTTCACATTAACTTACACTGAATACTAAAGACAAAGCAAAAATGTTTTTTGGGGGCGAGGGTGTCAGGACGGTGCCTGACAGCCGACCGAGACAATCGCATTGTGCTGGAGCTCCTCACGAAAATACACTTATTAAGCCTAACATTGGACACAATAGATCTCATTTCTGCAAACATGTTGCTTATAACCCTGGGAAACACCCTATTATTTGACACTTTTACACTGCATAAAAAACTAAAATATCAAATAGACATAAGACATAAGTATTCAGACCCTTAAACTCAGCACCGGCGGTATCAGTTTTTAATTGTTTTTGGGTATGATTTGACAAACTTTGCACACCTGGATTTGTATAGTTTCTGCCATTCATCTCTGCATGCACGCTCAATCTCAGCCAGGATGAATTGGGACCATCGGTGGACAGCCGCTTTCAGGTCTTCCCAGAGATGCTTGTTTAGGTTCAAGTCTGGACCACTCAAGAACATTCACAGAGTTGACCCCAAGCCACTCTTGTGTTGTCTTAGCTGTGTGCCTAGGGTCATTATCCTGAAGGAATGTGATCTTCGGCCCAGTATGAGGTCCTGAGCACTCTAGACCAGGTTTATATTAAGAATATCTCTGTATTTTGTGTTGTTCCTCCCCTCAACCCTAATAAAGCCTCCCAGTCTCTGCTACTAAAAAACATCCACAAAGCATGATGTATTACGTGTAGATTGATATGAAAATAATGATATTAATAAGTTAAACAATTGTTGTATAAGACTGCAACATGAAAAAAATGTGAAAAATATGAAGTGCACTGAATATGTTCTTAATGCACTGTATCTTATATGGCTAATGACAGACTGAACTAGGTTTTGAGTCAGTGCAACAAAGTACCAAGGTAGTACCATGCCAAAAATGTCTAATGACTAGTAAACAATTATCTGTGAGGCATGTCATTCAAAGGCTTAGCTCACCCAAACACTCACTCCAGTAAATGTAACTGAATGGTTTACTGGGGTGAATCATGCAGCAGTGGTAAAAATGTATATATTATATATGTAATAATATAATATATTATACATACTTCCCTTTGTGCTCTTCCATATTCAGGGTGGCGTTGCCGCCCCTTGATGCCTAGGGTGTACACATGTACATTTGTGCATCTACAGAGAAATGTCATATTATTGTACATGTGTTTGGGCATTTGTCCAGTAATGTCATCCATGAACGACACTGTATGTGTTAATTTAATTAACATGCCATGTCTGGTCGTAAAACCAATTGTCATGAAGTGATCAACACGCACCTTTCTACTATTCTATCAAAAGAACCTGCATCTGAATATATTACCTGAAAGGGTTTCAGAAAGATCTCATCCATAGCCAAACGCCCATACTCTGTAAAAAGCTGAAATGGAAAAATATAAGGGATATCTTAATACATTATATATATATATATATATATATATATATATATATATATATTATTATTATTATTTTTTTTACATTTTTTGTCGTTTTTGAAATTGACAACAATTACAATAGAAAAATAGTCAGCATATGTTTCAAATATCAAAAAATAAAAAAATTAGGTACAGGTTTGTGCAGGGATTGTGAATTTGATTATAAAACACTTACACTACTTAATGTGCATTGAATATGTTTTATATTTTAATATGCCCTCTCTGGCCATTTTCTGTTATTTATTTTTTTCCTATCTAGACAGGGTCATATTGAGAAGTAATGATATTATGCACAATGCTTTAAAATCATCTTCTGCTATGTGTACTTTACAGGGAGTGCCCACAATGATCTTTGCATGAATATCTCTCCTAGTGAAATTGGAAAAGACATGGCCAATCAAACAGGGGAGTGAAGAACTAGAAAAATAACACCAAACTTTTACAGGATAAAAAACAAAACAAAAAAACCATTTATACATATGCACACGGTCTATCATTTCTGTATGTGGCCAGGAAACCTTCAGCGTCAGTGCAATAGAAGAATGTTCATTGTCCTGCACTGTCTATACCATTTATTCCCAACACATGGGATGATGAAAGGAGTTAGAAGACCCAACATTAGTTTATAATTGTAAGGGCGCCTTGTTGGACCCTTCTTAAATGGAATTGTGTACCCCCAACCTGTTTTATATGGGAGAATGGTTGTTGTCATACAAATTATTCAGATTCCTGCTTGATGTCAGTGGGAGTCAAAACAGCTTATTGGCTTATCCAGGAATTGCACTTGGTTATGATCAAAACCTCTGAGGGTTTCTACTGTCCCCTCATGGAACCCTGCATATGAGGGCATGTATTAAATCAAAGAGCGAGGATGCTGTAAAAGGAGTGTCTATGGACTTATACATCCATTTTATACTCTGGGAGTTTTTCTTTGTATGAGAGATACACAAATATTGACCTGTAGCTGCTGCAGATCATCCTCCTGTATATTCTGAGATAAATTGTAGATCTGTGGGTAAAAAAACATGGAGTAAGAGAAGGCAATTATAGACTAATAAAGATAGACTTGTGGGGAGGTGAGACCCATACTACAGTTGTGTGTGTAAGTGGGCACATTACGCGAATTGGATAGAAGTATAAGAAAAAGAAAATGACTTGCAGTAGCTATTTAAACTAAAGAAAGTCATCTTGTTTTCCTGAAATGGAGAACTATTTACAGTGTCTGTTTGTAGTTTAAGTTTATATGAATGAGAAAAAGAGTGTCAACCAGAGCTCTAACAAATTATCACTGACTTGTACCACGACGTGCTGTGACATCGAATTATATTCCTGGGAGAATGGTTAATTTTAAAGTGGGATAATATAGGGAAAAAGTCAGGTAGAAAAATATTTTGAGCGATACAGTGAAATGTCACTAGAGGTGTGTTAAATAAGATACGGGGCACAGACAGAGATTTATTGATCTTTAAAGCAAAGCTGACAAAGTGTAAATGACAACGTTGCAATGGGTGCTTTTGGAAGAGATGAGGAGAATTAAAGATCAAAAACAGATGATTTGCCGGCATGTAGGAAGCACCCAAATATACCTGTATAAGAGGTAGCTGTTGGTAAGCTGTGTGAGAGGTATAGGAGTCCAAGTGGCAACATTAAGCTTGCTTTCTAGACCTGCCAATTGTTACTTGGGCAGCTCACCTTCCATACAATATATGTTCTTCATTAGTTATTTCTCAGAAGTAACCATTACCTCTCCATTTTCTATACTACACAATGGAGCACTTAATTTTTCCATTTCCTTGTAATTTCTGTACTGATATATCGACAGAGGAGATGCTACTTTGGGTATAATCCTTTTCACTATAATGTAGTGTTCAGAGAGTACCGGTCATTCCAATGGCTATTATTTTTGTTTCAATGTTAAAACGTGTTTCACAAAATAACAATTGTCAAATAAAGTTACTTGGGCAACTATTACATCACTTTGTTCAACTAATATATAGTACCTGATTTTTGCTTATTGAGAGAGCAAAGACTGGGACATTATGCATCACTTAAAAGTGAAAGATTTCTAAGGAAGTTAAGAAGGCCGGAAAGAGGAAAATATTTAAATGGTATGGATTTTATGGAGACAGGCGGAAGATTTTGTAATTCATTAGGAAGAATACTGAAATGAGTTAATAATGTTGGAAGATTCAAGTGTTGCTTATTACAGGACAGGTGTAAATTAATTTGTTTGAAGAAAGATGTAAAACACAGTTAGAGAATGAGGTGCTTAAGAGGTGGAAAATTAAGAGAGTAAGGGAAGGGATAGGATTGGGGAGATTGATTTTGAGGTTGAAAGATTAAATATTTAAATTAAAGGGATGCTCTGCCCCAAAACTATTTCAGCTTAACAGAGAGGAAGAAAGGAATCAGTGCAGATGAGTGCCCCAGCAACACACATTTGGGATTTAAACCTGTAAGGCAAGTTTTCCAACCCCCATAACTTCATTGAGATGTAGTTGTTTTGGAATACAATGGTCCCTTTAAAGTGAAATTTCTGTGGAAGTAATTTTTTTGTTCCATTATCCCAGCAATTGAAGTGTTAACAGAGGTGAAAAATGGGGTGCTTAGAAGAATGAGGGAAAAAAGGCTTTGTTACTGTTGAAAAAGGTACTATTGTAGAAGCAAAGTACACATTTAAGTTAAGAAGCCAGTGGCAGCACTCCCTAAAGCAAGATAATCTCTGAAGATAACAGATCTGCAGATACTGCTTTGAAGAAGGTTATGTGGGTATGGGAGGTAGAAGGAACAATTTGTTTGTGTTGACAGTGTTAAATTGTACAGAAACCTGGAAAGGTTCTGGTGTAAAAAGGTTCTCACCTGGATAGAGCTTGTCATTGTGCTGAGAGCAAAGATAGTGGCACAATCCTTCACTGTGGACTGGCTGTCGAATGCTCCTTGTGTGTCCATAAGAACCACAGCAACCTAACCAAGAAAGACCATAATTAAGCTATATAGGCAAATCAGAGCGCTACAATCTGGCTATGCAATTCAATAGAGCATTCAACGTGTTTCAACAACTGTTACCCAGTAAACTGGAGAGTCTTACCTCCTTGCCATCTGGCTTTCTCATGGTGAAGACCTCACTCCAGATCTGAATACCTGTCGTATCTGGTTCTGATCCTCCTTTCCAGGAGAAGCCAGTAAGAGGTTCATCTTCTGTCCCTAGCCAATTACTGCTGTTTTCTTTCTGCAAAATGGAGATATCATTTGGTTCAAAATAAACAATTATAGTTTCAATATTTACCAAAAATGAAAGCACAGCTTTAGAGTCTGCAAGGTAATTTGGACTCAGGAGGACTCAAATCAGAGTGCAATCTTAACTTTCCAATAAAAATATATGTGTTTGAATCTGTAAAGTCCTTGAATACTGCCTGTAAACAAATGGTAAAACATTACAAACTATTTCCATTACAACACAAAATTAGGATCATGAACTAAACAGATTTAGATTTCCCATGCAGTATGATCACCATAGACACTATATGCCGTTGTAGTGACACAGGTGTCCCCCAGGATTTCACCAATCTGCTAGAAAGTGGTTTGATTAGGAACTCAGGGTCTACACCTGAAGCCTACTACCACCATTAACTCTAAAGCAGGGTGCTTTGGATGTGGTTCTTAGACTGCTCCTTTAAAATCATGTTATTTTGTATGTAATGCTGTTGTTTCTGATGTCAACTTCACATTTTTCTACAACTTGCAACCTCACGTTTTATTTTCCTTTCCCCCCTTTTTTTTTTTAAATTGTGGTTAATACATTCTACGACAGATGATTTATAGAACATTAAAAGGATACTATAGGCACCAACACAACTTTGGTTTAATTAATCAGTTTTGGTGTAGACATGCCCCTGCAGTCTCAATGGTCAATTCTCTGCTATTTAGGAGTTAAATCACTTAGTCACCCTGCATGTGACTTGAACAGCCTCCCTAAACACTTCCTGAAAAGGTACCTAGATATTCTCGATTCCTTTATTGCACAGACTGTTTAAAGGACCACTCTAGGCACCCAGACCACTTCAGCTTAATGAAGTGGTCTGGGTGCCAGGTCCAGCTAGGGTTAACCCATTTTTTAATAAACATAGCAGTTTCAGAGAAACTGCTATGTTTATGAATGGGTTAAGCCTTCCCCCTTTAAAGCCTCTAGTGGCTGTCTCATTACAGAACAGGAGATAAAAACCTCTAAAGTAATTTAACAGCAGATATAACATGAAACCTTTTTTTCATGCAGCCTGTCTCAGCCACAGACAGGGGAGATGTGGTTAGAGCTGCATGGTCAAAAACAAAAGTGATGCATCTCCTAAATGGCAGACAAATGATCAATGATACAGGAGGGGTATGATCTATACAGCCAAACTGCTTTATTAAAGGGATACTGTAGGCAACCAGACCACTTCAGCCCAGTGAAGTGGTTTGGGTGCCAACTCCCATCACCCTTAACCCTGCAAGTATAATTATTGCAGTTTTTGTAAACTGCAATAATTATCTTGCAGGGTAAGTCCTCCTCTCGTGGCTGTCTAGAGGCACTTTGTCTAAACGATGTTGGACGTCTTCACGTTATGCATGAGGATATCCAGCGTGCCGGAATCCCTATTGGAAAGCATTGTATAATGCTTACCTATGGGGAAATCCTAATGCAAGCATGGCCATTGCCGCGCATGCGGTCTCCCCCGCCGCTGGACGTAGGCGGGGGAGGAGCGTGGGTGGAGCCTGACTCAGGTAAGTGTCTGAAGAGGTTTTAACTCCCTCAGCAACGTCGGATGGGGGGTGGGAGGGAGGGGGGCACTCCAGGATTCTACAGTGCCAGGAAAACGGGTTTGTTTTCCTGGCACTAGAGAATGCCTTTAAGCTAAAGTTGTTTCGATACCTATAGTAACCCTTTAAAAAAATTACTTTACTTGTATATTCCAGTCTCATTGTAAATTAATATTCTTTAACACTTGACATGGCACGTGCAAGCTGTTTCATGGTACAATATGCAAGAGACTTAAGAAATATTACATCCCTAGGGGGCAGCACATGAGAATTGTTCCAGGCAGGTGGTGCCTAAGGAACATAGGAAGTCTATAAAATGTCTGTAAAAAGTAGGTCTATAAACATAATAATATGATGGAGAACATGAATTAATGAGACTTTGTCATAATTAACATGTCATAAAACAATCTTAAAACTACAAATAATGTCACCTATGCTCACCATACACTTATATTATTCAAATTAAAAATAAAATGGTTTACCCCGGGAGTGCCTCAAGGAGCAGCCAGAGAAAAGTTCTGTGTATATCCATATCTATATGTAACACACTTGGGTCCCTGTGTGTGTATATTAAACTCTTCCAACACTTGTAAAATATATACAATGTACTGATACTGAGCTTTTATAACTGGGGATAGGGATGGCAGTCTTGCCCGAGACCTTCCTGAATGGTCTCTAACGCAAATACTTATATACAACACAAATATGGGAATATGGCTGTACAGGAAACAAAATATAGCATAACACAGTTTAGTTAATAAGTCACTTAAGCAACCAAATGCAAGATGTATAAATTAGCAGGAGTATCAGGGAGTCTCCCCTGGTGATATTAATGGTCCGAGGCTCCCTGATACACCTGCTAATTTCTACAGGTGAGTGCATTTGGTTGCTTAGGTGGTTTAGCTGCTAAACAGTGTTATAATGATATATTTTTCCCCTTTACATCTAGAGCTGTATTCCTGTATTTTTGTTCTATACATGTTGTGTGTATGCCTGTACCTATCCTGATCTGTCCTGCAATTTCTGACCTGGGACCGATCAGAAATGATGCCAGATGAAATGCAGGTGTTTCTATGTGGCTCTTTTTTGACAGCTTTGCTACAACCAAATTTGAGATTTGTATTTAATATACGTTTTGCTCTTCGTTTAATTAAATGTGCAAAGTTGTATATTAACTAACCACGCAGATGCGCAAGGTATAAATAAAATTATTTGGAGTTGGAATTCATCATTTTATGCAAAACAAAAGCTATTATGAAACCTGAATATGAGTGTGATACTCCGAGAATAGTACAACTTCGGAGAGAGGAAATGTGGATTGAAAAGATACCTGGCTGTAGACATATCTCAGCATAAAATCCAACAGAAAGGACTTCCCTTTTCGAAAGGCGCCGGCTACAGATACAACCACTACATCCAAATCTCGTATTCTCTCTTGGAGAAGAACAGAGGCCAGGGCCTCCTCGTCCAACTGGAAAGAATGATCATCCTTTAGTACTTGAACTACCTGGACTGGGCCGGGAGTAGCTGGAGCCATGGCTGCGGCAGAATGAAAGATATGGAAGGATTAGAGAATAGGAATAAAAAAAACATAACTATAAACAAAACCACAGTAAGAGCAGAACAACTATAACTGGCATAGGAAATAGTTACTGCCCACAGAGCGGATTACCCAGAGAGAAGCAATCATCTGCTTCCTAAACAGTGCACTCTAGTATGCACACAAGAGGGGAAACTAAGAAAAGCTAAATATTTGGAAGGATGCCATAACAACCATTAAATATTAAAGGAGACACTGCTAGCAGCAAAATATCAAACTTACAGAGCTGAATGGTAGCAGTACAGATACCAGGAGAAAGGGCCTGCACCTAGGAGGGGGGGATGTCTAACGTCTTCAACCAGGAGATCTGACTCACAGCACTGAGAACTATTTTACACTTCCAGCAGAATTTGGCAGAAACGTTGTATGACACATAAATGTGAGACAGAGAGAGGGCGGAGGAGGAGCAAAGAGAAACAGGGATGGGATTCAGAAACCAAAATGAGAAAGCAAGTAAAGCTTGCAGATAGGAAAAGTGTAAATAAAGGATAAGGAAGGAATCCTAAGGGATAACCAGAGGAAATAAAGAAAGGTAGGCAGGCAGGATTTCCATTCTCTTTTTGGGTCAGCATGTCTAATGATATATCCCTCTCTTTGAAAACCCACCTATAAGACTGCTATATAAGAACTGAAAATAAGTGACTAAAACTTCAGGAGACAGAGTGTGAGGAGAACTTAAAACTGATCTAAATTCAATAGAAAGGTTTACATATATACTAACACAAAAAGAAACCTATGTGTATAAACATATACAATACAGCCCTTAAGCAACATCAGCAATGCACCAAATCTTTAAAGGGTCACTTTAGTCACACAGACGTCTTTATCTCAATGAATGGTTCCGGTATCTATAGCATGTGCCTGCATGCTGTTCAATGTATAAATGCTGCCTTTTCAGAGAAAAGGCACTGTTTACAGTGCTGCCTAGCAACAACTTTACGTGCAGTAACTCAGATGGCCACTAGAGAAGCTTCCTATTTCAGTGCTGCATGCTGTGCAGGACCTACATTCAGTGCTGAATGTTCCCCATGGAGATGCATTGATTCCATGCATCTCTATAAGATCCTGATTGGCGCAGTGCGGTGCATGCGCAATAGCCTCCCAATGCTTTACTATGAGAAATCATTGGATTGGCTGAGATCCTCCACATTAATGATCTTAGCCATGGTGGGGCCAGTCACAGCAAGACCAGCACAGCATTGGAGAAAAGGTATGTTTAATACCTTTTTACTCAACAGAGAGGTGGGCCAGACACCTATATATGTATTCCAGCACTATAGTGTTCCTTTAGATATTTGTTTTTTTTTTTTTTTACACACAGCTCAAGGAGTTGTGAATAGGGCTACATAACCAGAAACAAAAGTGGCAGAGAATTGAGCAGTGACTGCAGGGGCGTGATCTATACCAGGTGTGCCCAAAAGGTAGATCCCAGATGTTGTAGAACTACAACTCTCACAATGCTTTGCATGCCTTTAGAATGACAAAGCATCATGGAAGCTGTAGTTTAAAAACATCTGGGGATCTACCTTTTTTGGCACCTCTAATATATACTGTTGAACTGCTTAAGCTAAGTTGTTTTGGTGACTATAGTGTCCCTTTAATCTACACAGAACCTTTGTTAACAGACTTAACTCATGCACAGCTGATATGAAGCAACCCTTAGTCTTCTCTTGGAATTCTCTGAGTGCCATACTGCTTTTAACATTCTGTGATTCAAAGACAGATATTTAATTTTCCTGTAATAGTTTCTTGTATCAGATGTGAATGCAGATGAGGGACACACCCTGACCCTGAGGCACTTGTAGCTAAGAGTAGTCCATCTGGTTGGACTGAAAGAAAAACCTAGTAAAAGCTGGAGTGGATCCACCTTTGCATCCCAGATATTTTGTCATATGAAATGATCATGGGTTTGTCTGGATTTTCATTTGATATTTTCCAGTATTTCACATTGCTAATAGCTCCAAGATTCTCATGTCTCGGACTGAAGATACTGGATTGTTCTGAACCACCCTGACTGCTTCTTCACAGGTCTTTTCCATTTTTTCTTGAGAATAATCATTTATTTTTTATTTTTTTAATAAATGGGATGATTATAGATAACACATTCAAACATGGTGCAGTATTTCACATTGCTAATAGCTCCAAGATTCTCATGTCTCGGACTGAAGATACGGGATTGTTCTGAACCACCCTGACTGCTTCTTCACAGGTCTTTTCCATTTTTTCTTGAGAATAATCATTTATTTTTTATTTTTTTAATAAATGGGATGATTATAGATAACACATTCAAACATGGTGCTGGAGTTGATACAGTAATTAACTCACTTATCTCCCAAGCAGAGGGGAGGGATTGGATGTAATGTATGGGAGTGACTCATTACATGACTCTATGTTGATTGGTTGTTCACTGTTTTTCTCTGTGCACAACAAGGTCCACCTGGGTGGCAACCTTGTTGGAAAACTTGCATAAAAGGCCAGCATGGCCACATTAAAAATCAGTTCTGCTTAACCCTCAACATGTAGCCTTGCCTCATGCTTGTAGGGAACCTGCTTCACAACTAATCACTAGCTCTTGTAAGAGCTCTACTATACCTTCGACTACCTGTTTGGCTGAGATGACATCTGGAGAATATTGCAGCACCGCTCTTCCCCAGGGAAAAGGACATCTCTAACGGCATACACCCCTCTGATACTCCGGGTGGCCGTTACAGGGGTATATCCAAAAGTGCTTGCAAAAGCGGCAGATCTTCTGACTGCAGCCTTTGCAAGCCCTCTCCTTTCTTCCGCAGCACCAACAGGGACATTTCCAATCAGAGTCTTCTGATTGTGAGCCACAGGCGAATGTGGTAGTGGGGGGGGGGGGATGCGTGGCACAGATGACACCGCCGCCGGGGAGAAAGGAGAGCCAAAGAGGACGAGGCACAATGTGGAGTCCTGTGAATGCTCAATATCACAGGCACTTGTAGAAGGCAGGTGCAATTTGGAAGCAAGGTCTACCCCCAGCTGTCTGATTGACATATTTAACATGTGCAGTTAAAAGCTTGCACTTTAGCAAGCTGGAAAAGAATTTGGAAGCTAGTGCACATGCGCAGCAAATCAATTGTCTCTATGAGCATTTCATTTCATCGAGTAACCAGGCCTGACTGTTATTCAGCAGAAGTGCCTCTAGTGTCTGTTACTAAGACAGTCACTAGAGGTGTGCTGAACCTTGCAATCATATCTATTTAACGGCAATGTTTTATATTGCAGTGTTAAAACGAAGGGACCACTGCACCAAGACAACTTCATTGAGATGAAGGGGTCTGGGTGCCTTTAGTGGACCATTAATCTTGCATAGAAGTGTGTGCTCTGTCTCAGAGTCTTGTGTCCTGACTTTGTTTTTGAAGTGCATGAACCTTTTCCTCTCCCAGAATACAGGGACCTGTTGATGTGAAAAAATTAAACAAACATCTGTTCTATTAAGAATATTTCTTATTTCCTTTGAAAGGGTCTTTTCCCCATGTGACGTGTTTAAACACATCTTTCTGGGCTAATCTAAATACCCTACTCATTTCAAACAAGAATTTGCAGAGCAATTTTTTTCTGTGCTTTTGACCAAAGAATGCTTTGCTCTATAAAGCTGCTGCTCTACACTGCAGGATTCATTCATGGCTTCCGTAGGCTTACGGCTTCACAGATAAGAAAACGTGTTGTGCTCTCTAAACCTGATGTCCCAAATGCACATTACAGTAATTTAATGCTTTATTCTAAAGACTACATGCAATTTCAAGTGCAATAAATAAACACGCCTTTCTCTGGACTCTCCCATTCTCTCTGCACTAGAGTAAAACAAAATTGAATATAGTGGAAAAAATACCACTTCTTTATAAATGTGTGAATATCTTCCTCCAGAAAGCATTTGTATTCATAGTTAAACTCTTGTTCCTGTCAATTTGTAATATTTTGTCACATCTGATTAGTCACACAAGTTTTACAATTGTAAAGTGCTGCAGAATATAAATTATCCAAATCTTCTTTAAGGGATGTGATATAGTACAAAATATCAAACATTCACCAGACAAATACTACTAAGCAGCTTGTCCATGCTCCAGTAATCTCTTGCATGGATTACTGTAACCCTTTTCCTAATTGGTCTTTCCAGAAGCCCTATAGTCCTGCTACAGTCTGTAATGAATGCTGCCACCAAACTGATTTTCCTCCCCAGTCGCTCCTCTCACACCTCACCCCAATTCAAAGTAATAATCCAAACTTAGAAAGCACTGAACAACTCTAGCCCCTCATATAACTCTTCACTGATCCATAGGTACGCCCCTTCTCGGTCTCGCCGCTCTGTCCATGACCTTCTCCTGTCCGCTGCTCGCACCGTACGGCCAACTCACGCTTGCAAGACTTCTCGTGGTCGGCTCCCTTCCTATGAAATAACCTGCCTACCACCATCAGACTCTCCCCTAGTTTTTCAATCGTTTAAAAAGTGCCTTAAAACCCATCATTTCAGGAAAGCTTATGGTCTCCCACTGTAACCTCTACCTCACATACCTGTCCTTTCCTCTCTCCTAAAGGGCAGCATTCTACTCTCTCATCCAGCTCTGACTCACTCCCACCTTGTTTGATTGCTATCTCCTGTCCTATTGTGTTTGATACCCTACCTCCAATAGTTTGTAAGCTTATTTAAAGCAGGGTACTCTTCAACCTATCGTTCCTGTAAGTTTTTGTAATTGTCTTACTTATTGTTAAATATCCCCTTCTTATATTGTAAAGTGCTACTGAATTTACTGCCACTATATAGATACCAATAGTAATAACAATAAAAATAATAAATGATCAGATGTTTAAGAAACTCTTTTCCAGACCTAGAACTTCTATGGACAGGGGCTGGTACCTGTTTTGTTTGTTATAAAAAATAATATGACAAAAAAAAAACAGGGGAAGGTATCTGTATTCACTAAATTGGCATGTAATTGTTATGTTGCCCAAACTGTCCCTTTAATTCTCTTACAAGGTATAATATGAGCATGTCAATGTTTTTGATCAGTCTAGGTTATGTAACACATTTAATTTGGACACTATGTTAACTTGAACAATAGACACAGAAAGTAATAATGTCAAAAGCATTCACTCTAGTGACAGGAATCTCTCCAGACCACCTCATCAGCAGCAAATGTGGAATTTACATATCTGCAATATTAATATCTATTTGGTCCACCCAGGACAGAAGTGACAGAATAAAAGTACTAATGTTTGTTAGCCTGGTGCCTATAAGCCATTTATGTCAAAGTTGGACAGAATGGATAGGTAATAAGTGAAAGTGCAATGAAAGCCAGTGGACAGCAGTGTCAGAGCACCAAATTCAGGATAAACTGTTGCAAAAGGAATTAACCCCTCAAGGTAAGGCAGTGCTTCGGGCCCTCCTCCCCATAACAACTTCAATAAACTTAAGTTGTTATGGGGGTGGCAGTATTCCTTTTAAATGTTTACAATATTGCTACCATATTTGCTGAAACATTGGCACACCAGCTGTTCTGGAGTACATTTCCAATTCAATTTCCAAATCACTGGAAATCATTAAAGGGTTATTCGAAAGCATTATCATAAATACAGCCGCTGTAGTGGTTACGATGCCAAGTCCCCCGACCCAGTTCTCCGGTAGTGGCACAAACCACTGGCTGGCTCCGATGCTCCCTGGTGGTCCAGTGACACACTTCCAGCTTCTGCAGAAATGCAGAGGCCAAGGCTCAGGGTGGGCCTCTTAAATAGGTCCCAGTAGGAATATGGCTCAAGGCAGCACTTTGACGAAGGGAGGGGGGCGCCCATTTGTGTATATATATATATATATATATATATATATATATATATATATATATATATATATATATATATACACACACACACACACACATATACATATACACACACACACACACACATATATATACCTACACCTCTTGTCCAATGAAGAGTGGGCACAGAGATCTAATTCTCCATCTCCTGCAGCATCAAGTCCTCTCCTCTCTTGAACTGCGAGAGCGTTGATGCGAGTTTTCATGGCAACTCCGCGCAGCACGCAATGCATGATGGAGCATTGCCATAGCAACCAGCGGCTCACAAGGGGTAAGGACCTGATGCTGCAGGAGATAGGACACGGCATATATATATATGCAAATGCGTGGCCCATGCTCTTTGCGGCACAGCACATTTGTTACTCACTGCATCCACTACACAAACACACTCACTGCATCCACTACACAGACACACGCATTGCATCCACTACACCAGGGGTTACCAAACCCAGTCCTTAAGTACCCCTTACCAGTCCAGGATTTAGGGATTACCCTGTTGTGTCATCCCTAAATCCTGGACTGTTAGGGGGTATTTGAGGACTGGGCTTCGAACCACTGCACTACACAAACACAGACACTGCATGAATTAATGGATATGTGTTTTGGCAAGTGTAGTTTTTTTTGGTGGAGGGCGGGAGTTGCACAGAATTGACATTAGTCAGCCTAGGACTGTAGCTGTACAAATCACCCTTTATTCTGGAAATTGTGGAGAACTGATGGAAATACAAACCACAAACAAGTAGCTAATTCTGTTAATTTTCCAACTTAGCTACAAATCCAGCTTGAGTAACTTGGCCTCAAATGTCAATTCACTACAATTTCCAGTTAAGTAAATACATCTGACAGTCCACAGCAGCTGGTATTTTGCGTATTTTATTGTATAAATATGTTCTACTAATTTTGTATGAACATATACTTATTAAACTGGTTAATAACCATTTTTTTTTTAATCAAACTGGTCTTTCATTTTTCTAAAACAGTCACAAACCAATATAAGATAATGATAAATGCCAGGTTTCAGACCATATAAATTGTAATCCCCTGTCATATACAGGATTGACATCATCAGAAGTGGTGTTCTGAGCCAATCACAATGCTTTCCCATAGGAATTGGATTGGCTGAGACTGTCAAGAAGGCAGATCAGGGGCAGAGGCAGCACAAGTCAAACAGAGCCCTGGCCAATCAGCATCTCGTCATTGCGATGTATGAATCAATGCATCTCTATGAGGAAAGTTCAGTGTCTGCATTCATAGGGTGGAGACACTGAATGTCAGTGCTGTGCAGTACTGCCACAGGAAGTACCTCTAGTAGCCATCTGAGGTGTGGCCAGTGGAGGTATCCCTAGGTTGTAATGTAAACACTGCATTTTCTCTGAAAAGACAGTGTTTACTGCAAAACAGACAGAAGGGGCCAATTATACTCATCAGAACAACTACAATAAGCTGTAATAGTTCTGGTGAGTATAGTGTCCCTTTAACCCTACAGTGGTAATTATTGCAGTTTCTGGCTTTGTTTTCCTGCCACTATAGAATCTCTTTAATAACCCTACAAACATATATCTCATAACATGAACTCTCATATTATAATTATTTAAGTGTGTTGAAGGAAACTTTATGTAAATTTCAAACTTGAAGCCACAATAACAACTGTAGAAATTATTAATTAAAATAAGAATTATCAGGAATGTAAAACAAATGTTACATTTTAGACCAAAATAGCTGAATGCAATAATTCTCCATGTCAGATTATTTACTATTTATAAAATAGTAAAGGAACACTATGGTAACCCAGACCACTTCAGCTCATTAAAAGGGTCTGGGTGAACTGTCCCTGACTCCCTTAGTGCTGCAATGTAAAACATTGCAGTTTTAGAGAAAATGCAATGTTTACATTGCAGCACTAAAACAGCCACTAGAGGTGCTTCCCGTATCTTACCTGACTTTAGGTCACCTAACCTATTCTGGACGTCCTCGCACTCTGCATGAGGACATCCAGTGTCAGTGAAAATCTGAAGCAATGCTTTTCTACGGAGAGAGCCTAATGTGCTCACCACTCCTGCGCATTATCCCCCCGGTCAGATGACGGGTAAGTGATTAAAGGATTTTTTAACCCTTTAGTAGCCGAGGGCTATGGGAGGGGGCCTTACAGGTTTGTATTCCTTTCACTATAGAACCCTTTTAAATTTTAATATATTAAAGGGACACTGTAGGCACCAAAACCACTACAGCTCATTGTGTCCCTTTTGCATCTAGTGCTGCAATGTTAAACATTGCAGTGCTTACATCGCAGCACTAAGTCTGCCCTCAGTGGCTGTCTACCAGACAGCCACTGGGGGCGCTTCCAGAATCGTAAGTGATATTTGGTCCGTTATCTGACGCTGGACGTCCTCACGCTTTGCATGAAGACCTCCAGCGTCAGATTTTTGCTAAAAGGAAAACTGATTCAGTGCTTTCCTACGGGAACGTCTAATGCGCATTAGACCCCGATCGTCGAGGGACGGAGGAGGGGGCAGAGTGTCGACCCAGCGTCGAGGGACATCGGTGCTGGGATAAAGTATTTACTGGGGGGCGGAAGGCAGAGGAATGGTAGTGCCAGGAATATAGCTTTGTATTCCTGGCACTACAGTATCCCTTTAAGTCAGATAGGCTTCCAAATCAACTATTTTATACTGAAACGTGAAATTCAGTTTGAATTTTCACCTTAGTGAATAACCCTGTAAGTCAGTAATGTTATTCTAAGGCAATTCTGGCCTATAATACAGGGTTATTTACTAAAGGGAGAATTCAAAGTGAATGTCTAACTTAAGGCCAAAGTAGCCGAATTGGATGCATTACTGACTTTTTTCCAGGTCAGCCGTTTTTACCTTGCAATCTCACTTTAGTACATAGTCCTGTATTATTGTCCCTTTAGTACATAGCCCTGTATTACTGTCCCTTTAGTACATAGCCCTGTATTACTGTCCTTTTAGTAAATAGCTTTGTATTATTGTCCCTTTAGTACATAGCCCTGTATTATTGTCCCTTTAGTGAATATCCCTGTATTATTGTCCCTTTAGTAAATAGCCCTGTATCATTGTCCCTTTAGTACATAGCTCTGTATTATTGTCCCTTTAGTACATAGCTCTGTATTATTGTCCCCATTTTAGTGAATAGCTCTGTATTATTGTCCCTTTAGTGAATAGCTCTGTATTATTGTCCCCATTTTAGTAGATAGCTCTGTATTATTGTCCCCATTTTAGTGAATAGCTCTGTATTATTGTCCCCATTTTAGTGAATAGCTCTGTATTATTGTCCCCATTTTAGTAGATAGCTCTGTATTATTGTCCCCATTTTAGTGAATAGCTCTGTATTATTGTCCCCATTTTAGTGAATAGCCCTGCCCCCTCAATATAGCAAAATCTTACATTTATTTCAGTTTACTGCTGATGCTGGCTCTGCCCCTGATCTGCCTCCTTGGCTGACATCATCAGAAGTGGTGTTCTGAGCCAATCACAATGCTTTCCCATAGGAATTGGATTGGCTGAGACTGTCAAGAAGGCAGATCAGGGGCAGAGGCAGTACAAGTCAAACAGAGCCCTGGCCAATCAGTGCCAGGAATATAGCTTTGTATTCCTGGCGCTACAGTATCCCTTTAAGTCAGATAGGCTTCCAAATCAACTATTTTATACTGAAACGTGAAATTCAGTTTGAATTTTCACCTTAGTGAATAACCCTGTAAGTCAGTAATGTTATTCTAAGGCAATTCTGGCCTATAATACAGGGTTATTTACTAAAGGGAGAATTCAAAGTGAATGTCTAACTTAAGGCCAAAGTAGCCGAATTGGATTCATTACTGACTTTTTTCCAGGTCAGCAGTTTTTACCTTGCAATCTCACTTTAGTACATAGTCCTGTATTATTGTCACTTTAGTAAATAGCCCTGTATTATTGTCCCTTTAGTACTTAGCCCTGTATTATTGTCCCTTTAGTACATAGCCCTGTATTACTGTCCTTTTAGTAAATAGCTTTGTATTATTGTCCCTTTAGTACTTAGCCCTGTATTATTGCCCCTTTAGTACATAGCCCTGTATTATTGTCCCTTTAATGAATATCCCTGTATTATTGTCCCTTAAGTACATAGCCCTGTATTATTGTCCCTTTAGTACATAGCTCTGTATTACTGTCCCTTTAGTGCATAGCCCTGTATTACTGTCCCTTTAGTAAATAGCCCTGTATCATTGTCCCTTTAGTGAATAGCTCTGTATTATTGTCCCCATTTTAGTGAATAGCTCTGTATTATTGTCCCTTTAGTGAATAGCTCTGTATTATTGTCCCCATTTTAGTAGATAGCTCTGTATTATTGTCCCCATTTTAGTAGATAGCTCTGTATTACTGTCCCCATTTTAGTAGATAGCTCTGTATTACTGTCCCATTTTAGTAGATAGCTCTGTATTATTGTCCCCATTTTAGTAGATAGCTCTGTATTACTGTCCCCATTTTAGTAGATAGCTCTGTATTATTGTCCCATTTAGTAGATAGCTCTGTATTATTGTCCCCATTTTAGTAGATAGCTCTGTATTATTGTCCCCATTTTAGTAGATAACTCTGTATTACTGTCCCCATTTTAGTAGATAGCTCTGTATTATTGTCCCCATTTTAGTAGATAGCTCTGTATTATTGTCCTATTTTAGTAGATAGCTCTGTATTATTGTCCCCATTTTAGTGAATAGCTCTGTATTATTGTCCCATTTTAGTAGATAGCTCTGTATTATTGTCTCATTTTAGTAGATAGCTCTGTATTATTGTCCCGTTTAGTAGATAGCTCTGTATTATTGTCCCCATTTTAGTAGATAACTCTGTATTATTGTCCCCATTTTAGTAGATAGCTCTGTATTACTGTCCCCATTTTAGTGAATAGCTCTGTATTATTGTCCCATTTTAGTGAATAGCTCTGTATTATTGTCCCATTTTAGTAGATAGCTCTGTATTATTGTCCCAGTTTAGTAGATAGCTCTGTATTATTGTCCCCAGTTTAGGAGATAGCTCTGTATTATTGTCCCCATTTTAGTAGATAACTCTGTATTATTGTCCCCATTTTAGTAGATAGCTCTGTATTACTGTCCCCATTTTAGTAGATAGCTCTGTATTACTGTCCCATTTTAGTGAATAGCTCTGTATTATTGTCCCAGTTTAGTAGATAGCTCTGTGTTATTGTCCCCAGTTTAGTAGATAGCTCTGTATTATTGTCCCCATTTTAGTAGATAGCTCTGTATTACTGTCCCCATTTTAGTAGATAGCTCTGTATTATTGTCCCATTTTAGTGAATAGCTCTGTATTATTGTCCCAGTTTAGTAGATAGCTCTGTATTATTGTCCCATTTTAGTAGATAGCTCTGTGTTATTGTCCCCAGTTTAGTAGATAGCTCTGTATTATTGTTCCCAGTTTAGTAGATAGCTCTGTATTACTGTCCCCAGTTTAGTAGATAGCTCTGTGTTATTGTCCCCATTTTAGTAGATAGCTCTGTATTATTGTCCCATTTTAGTAGATAGCTCTGTATTATTGTCCCAGTTTAGTAGATAGCTCTGTATTACTGTCCCATTTTAGTAGATAGCTCTGTATTACTGTCCCATTTTAGTAGATAGCTCTGTATTACTGTCCCCAGTTTAGTAGATAGCTCTGTGTTATTGTCCCCATTTTAGTAGATAGCTCTGTATTATTGTCCCAGTTTAGTAGATAGCTCTGTATTATTGTCCCATTTTAGTAGATAGCTCTGTATTACTGTCCCCATTTTAGTAGATAGCTCTGTATTACTGTCCCCATTTTAGTAGATAGCTCTGTATTATTGTCCCTAGTTTAGTAGATAGCTCTGTATTACTGTCCCAGTTTAGTAGATAGCTCTGTATTACTGTCCCATTTTAGTAGATAGCTCTGTATTACTGTCCCCATTTTAGTAGATAGCTCTGTATTACTGTCCCCAGTTTAGTAGATAGCTCTGTATTACTGTCCCCAGTTTAGTAGATAGCTCTGTATTATTGTCCCATTTTAGTAGATAGCTCTGTATTATTGTCCCCAGTTTAGTAGATAGCTCTGTATTACTGTCCCCATTTTAGTAGATAGCTCTGTATTATTGTCCCATTTTAGTAGATAGCTCTGTATTATTGTCCCCAGTTTAGTAGATAGCTCTGTATTATTGTCCCATTTTAGTAGATAGCTCTGTATAATTGTCCCCATTTTAGTAGATAGCTCTGTATTATTGTCCCATTTTAGTAGATAGCTCTGTATTATTGTCCCCATTTTAGTAGATAGCTCTGTATTACTGTCCCCATTTTAGTAGATAGCTCTGTATTATTGTCCCATTTTAGTAGATAGCTCTGTATTATTGTCCCCATTTTAGTAGATAGCTCTGTATTATTGTCCCATTTTAGTAGATAGCTCTGTATTACTGTCCCCATTTTAGAAGATAGCTCTGTATTATTGTCCTCATTTTAGTAGATAGCTCTGTATTATTGTCCCATTTTAGTAGATAGCTCTGTATTATTGTCCCATTTTAGTAGATAGCTCTGTATTACTGTCCCCATTTTAGTAGATAGCTCTGTATTATTGTCCCATTTTAGTAGATAGCTCTGTATTACTGTCCCCAGTTTAGTAGATAGCTCTGTATTATTGTCCCATTTTAGTAGATAGCTCTGTATTATTGTCCCCATTTTAGTAGATAGCTCTGTATTATTGTCCCATTTTAGTAGATAGCTCTGTATTATTGTCCCCATTTTAGTAGATAGCTCTGTCTTATTGTCCCCAGTTTAGTAGATAGCTCTGTATTATTGTCCCCATTTTAGTAGATAGCTCTGTATTATTGTCCCCAGTTTAGTAGATAGCTCTGTATTACTGTCCCCATTTTAGTAGATAGCTCTGTATTATTGTCCCCATTTTAGTGAATAGCTCTGTATTATTGTCCCATTTTAGTAGATAGCTCTGTATTATTGTCTCATTTTAGTAGATAGCTCTGTGTTATTGTCCCCATTTTAGTGAATAGCTCTGTATTATTGTCCCAGTTTAGTAGATAGCTCTGTATTATTGTCCCAGTTTAGTAGATAGCTCTGTATTACTGTCCCCAGTTTAGTAGATAGCTCTGTATTACTGTCCCCATTTTAGTAGATAGCTCTGTATTACTATCCCCAGTTTAGTAGATAGCTCTGTATTACTATCCCCATTTTAGTAGATAGCTCTGTATTATTGTCCCCAGTTTAGTAGATAGCTCTGTATTACTGTCCCCATTTTAGTAGATAGCTCTGTATTATTGTCCCCAGTTTAGTAGATAGCTCTGTATTATTGTCCCAGTTTAGTAGATAGCTCTGTATTATTGTCCCATTTTAGTAGATAGCTCTGTATTATTGTCCCCAGTTTAGTAGATAGCTCTGTATTATTGTCCCAGTTTAGTAGATAGCTCTGTATTACTGTCCCCATTTTAGTAGATAGCTCTGTATTATTGTCCCAGTTTAGTAGATAGCTCTGTATTACTGTCCCCAGTTTAGTAGATAGCTCTGTATTATTGTCCCATTTTAGTAGATAGCTCTGTATTACTGTCCCCAGTTTAGTAGATAGCTCTGTATTATTGTCCCATTTTAGTAGATAGCTCTGTATTATTGTCCCCAGTTTAGTAGATAGCTCTGTATTACTGTCCCCAGTTTAGTAGATAGCTCTGTATTACTGTCCCCAGTTTAGTAGATAGCTCTGTATTATTGTCCCATTTTAGTAGATAGCTCTGTATTATTGTCCCCAGTTTAGTAGATAGCTCTGTATTACTGTCCCCAGTTTAGTAGATAGCTCTGTATTACTGTCCCCAGTTTAGTAGATAGCTCTGTATTACTGTCCCCAGTTTAGTAGATAGCTCTGTATTATTGTCCCCATTTTAGTAGATAGCTCTGTATTACTGTCCCTTTAGCCCAGTTTAGTGAATAAGCCCCCGCCCCCAGTAATGGCCACATTGCACTATGTGTATTGCTGGAGGGTGATTGTGACAGGCCCGGTGATGCTGTCACAGCCCGCCATCAGGCTATGTGGCCACACTGGGCGGGAGAGACACCCGCTGGCACCCAACCAACCTGTTGCTGTCGGGGGATTCCTGCTGCGCGACAGGCGGAGTAAACAAGCCCTGTGGCCGAAGTGAACGCCGGGAGATGTAGTAAGATAGTCACCATCGGCGCATCCCAAAGGCTGCTGTGAGAGGGTGGGTCAGAACTACGATTCCCGACACCACCCGCGACACACCGCTCCAACGGTCACAGCCAACCCCCTTTCTAATGGCTGTTTTATTATAACTAGACATACATTTCTTAAAGTCAGTTGTGTGGCATAAATAGCTGCTAAGGTAGCCTGCAGTCACACAAGGCAGATCTATTCGCTAGAAAGTAGATTCCACACGTCAGACCAAAATAGCCGAATGTGGATACATTGGCCGACTCAGCTCTGTTTCCAGTTCGACTATTTTGGTCTGAAACGAGCTCTTTAGTCCGTTTGGATGGCAATCCGCGGTAAATAAGACGCGATTCATTCTATAGAGAATGCAATCGAGTGGCTTTACTTCACATATGGATTTTGACCTCTAATTATTTATCTTTTATTCAAATATTATTATACCACAGCGAGGCTCTTTGTTTATTGTAAACGTATTAATAAAGTTTTTTTTCCCTTCCTTTGCGTTGAAAAAAAAAAAAGAAGCCACCCAGGAAGGATGAGTGAGCCTGTGTGAGGAGATTGCGCACGCGCACGCTGCTGTAATTGGCGCAGCGCCTGACGACGTCACGAGCCCACCCCTCCCTCCCATTATCCCCACTGCATAACCGCGCCTTCCACGCCTTGACATTTCCATCGAAGCCACGCCCCCCCATCGCCGCGACGTCCCGCCCACCGCCGCGAAGTCCCGCCCTCCGCAGGCGTTGCCCCGGTCACTGCGTCATTGTGTCGGTGTCGCGCTTGGTCGCTCGGTGACAGGAGCAGGACGGAGAGACGCACGTATATATTCATCTATCTTTTATCGCTTTCTCTGCCCCGTGCACCCCATCACCCTGTTTATCATAGCTAGCGGCACGTGTGCGCCATATTCGTACATACCCGCCCAGGGCTATGTATTAAACCTCGCACTGTACCGCACTGAGAGCCAGAGGACAATATCCAGGCAAAAATAGCCGATTCGGAAACATTCTCCCGCTCTCACATAGCCTCAGATTGATTATTTTAGCCTGAATCCATCCATTGGGGTTCCAATTCTCTGTAATTCGGAGGATTATTATCATTATTATTATTATTATTGGTAATTATATAGCGCCAACATATTCCGTAGCGCTTTACGATATTATGAAAGGGGGGGGGGATTTAACATTAAATTAGACCATTACAAAATGTTACAGAACAATGGGTTGATGGGGACCCTGCTCAAAACAGCTGTACTGATATAGCTCTATTCTTTATTATTCACATTAAATAGTGTCTGAATGCATGCGAAGATAATCATATTGTATAGAAATAGAGTACACCCTGTGTAATTTTATTTATATATATATTTATATCTTTGTGTCTGATTAATGTATTCCTGCACCTGTACACACCCTTTTATGATATATATTTAGAGTTGCAATTTAGCTGTCTAACACACAGGCATTTTTATTTAGCTGGTGGAAATGATTCACCATTAATCCTTATCACCTATTTTTTTTTTATTTATATATATATATATAAATCTTTGTATTGAAAGCATTACAGTTGTTGAAACAAAAGGTAAATGGTCGTGGATCCGTGTTTTAATCAGATTTCAGGATGTTATTTATTTAGATAGAGGTTTGATTTTCATATATTTTGGGCTGTTTATATTTTAATAAAGGGATGCTTATTCTAATACATGTGGCTCTTTCTTATTCAGTATCTTCTGAAAATAACGCACTGTTAATTCAGTAAGTGCTAGGGCTTATTCATGATTCTATTGATCTCAGTCTGTAGCTGTATGATGAAATCTGCAATCGGAACTCAAATCCACTCAGTATTTGCTATCCAAATGCTGACTCTTAATAGTAATCCTTCCAAGGTGATGCTTTTCTTTTACATTACAATCTTTTTCTGCTAAATAGTCTCGAATGACATTGAGCTCTTTTATCGTTATTTATGACTAATGATCGCTTCATTTAGAATTGTAGATTAGAAACTGTAGATATATTTATTCATCCATCTGGTGAGTTTGACATTTTCAGCAATGCACAAATATATGTCTCTGCATAGCCCCACCAATATGTATATGTATTTTGTTGTCTATATACAGTGATTAACAGCAAAATGGCAGACACCACCGGATTTCAGTCTTCTCACATATCTTCATCTGTTGGGGAGAAGGGAGGCAACTGTGCAGGTAAATCTATATGCACTATCTATATAAAGGAAGCCCAAATAATTACATACCTGTATAAATCAAATTTGATGCATTGTTTAGTCTGTTAAACTTGTATTATGTATGTTAAATATCAGAGTACATTGAGTATATTTTATAGTTTTAATGTAACAAAATATTTTGGGTTCTGGTTTTGTACATTTAAGTTTTCCCCAAATTGCTGAATTTTATGAGCAGGTAATATCGACCTGTGTGAGGAAATCAGTTACGATATCACTGTTAAATGATTAGAAAACCATGCTGGTAAGACATCAGTTGATTCCTGTTTAGCTTATGCAGCATTATTGAAAATGAGCAATCTAAAGACTGGTTTGAGTTGCACATTCTGAATTGCTAAATACATTCTTTTGTGTGCAAGCAATCACAATGAAAATATTTGTGAGAATGCAAAAAGCCAAAACTGGATCGGTCTGTGTCAATAGCTTACTCAGTTTAATAGGCCTAGTTTAAATAAACATCAATCATTAAGCGACACGATGTCTAGGGATAGATTGTCAGATTCAAGACACTTTGACATGCTCTGACTCTAAGAATATTATACAGCCTACAGTACATATGAGTTTGAGAGGCTTTATTTTATTACATTATTTTATATTTAATACTTTGATTTGTGTTATACAGTGCAGTTTACCAGTTTATAAGATCTTAAAGATCTTTCTTTAGGCTATGCATTGTATTAGCTGGGGATGGACAAAAGTTAGATCCTCAGATGTTACAGAACGACATCTCTACTCCCTGGCCGTATTTTAAAATTCTCAGGTTTTGGGGGTTTTTCTAAGAAAACATCTACTTAAGTATTTTATCATCAAAGCAAGAATTTTATCTCGCTTCAGGACTCTCTGCTTGTTTTTAAAAATGATTCTGTTTGTCTAGGTTATTTCAAGATAGCTTTGACGTGTCTTTCAGGAGCACATGGGATTAGGGAGTGTAGAATGTTTCTCATTCATTCATACATTGGGTGTTGGTATATATTATGTAGGTTGCAGGATTGTGTCATTGGACCCTATGTTAATCATTATATTGTGAGTTTCTTACTCGACTCTGTTCTTAATATTAATTTGGGCTACACACCCACCCCCTCCCCCCGGGAAACAAGTATATGAACTAAGAAAGTCTCTTCTGCAAATATATGTCTCACACCCCTTGCTATCTAGATAAGAAAGACAAGTTGTGTAGCAGGTATTGCAAATGGCCTTACAATGTAAAACCAGATGAATGCCTCGTCACACACCGCTACACATTAAAATGTTAATATAAAAATATAGTGAGTGCGGGCATTCCCCACAATATATTGAATAAATATTAAACATTTTTATTCAAATGCACTTTTAGTTAAAGGAACACACTAACATTAGGAAAACAAACATAAATTCATAATGTTAGTGTTTTCTTAACTACCTAGATTGGGGGGTAGTTGACATTCTGTACTCCATGTATTGTGGACTACATCTTCTATAATGTTTTTACATCTATAATGCAGGCAAAGAATCATAGGATATGTAGTTCGCAACATCTGGAGGTTGCCTACACCTGACCTAGATTATTGCACCCCCTTATACAGTAAAATAGTTTACTAACCCTTAGACCCTAACTGCGGCCGTCAATCCACCCTTGGCAACTATCCTCATCACAGACTCTCAGCCAATGCAATGCTTCTCCATTGGGAAGCAGGGGGGGGGGGGGCCAGTGAACATGTGCAGAAATTTGCTCAATGCGTCTTTATGGGTAGCATGAATACACTAAAGTTGATCCTACAGAGATTGCAGGACCCCACCCCGGGACTCTAGTGGCTGTCTGAACGGTGGCCTTAGTAAGTAATGTAAAAGAAAAAGGAGTGTTTGCATTGCTGAGCCTCCAGGGACAGTCGCTTTGCACCAGAACCACAACAGTAAGCTGTAGTGATTCTGGTGTCTATTTTAAACAAAACTACGAACAGTGGTATCACAGTAGCTGCTTTAAAACAGCACATACATCTTTCTTTTGGCAACAGCTTCTCATTTACTGAACTGTACAATAAATGCAATCAACATATTTACTGGAGTAAGCTTTGTGGTGGAGGGAAGTCACCCTCACAGTATTTTTGGGTCTTGTGTGTCACTGTCTACTTGAAGTGAAATGTGGGCCAAAAGCTCATAACCATGGGAAATCTGGAATTTGCTTAATTTGAAAAGCCATTCCAGGACAGCTTTACATGTGGTTAAATGTAAAATTAAAGAGTTACTCTAAGATCCTTTAACAACTTCCCTTTAGTGGTTCTAATACCAGAAGTCTCCTGGCATGGCCTGAAAGTAATCTGTCAAACCTTTTACCTGTCTTGATGGGCAGTGGAGGTCCTGCAGTCTTAGCTGGAACTATAGTGTCACTGAGTGGTTATGGTGCATAGAGTTTCCTTTTAAAAACAATAGTTTTTGTCGCAAAGGTAATGGTTAACTTATTTGAATTCTAGAATCTGACTTTCTCTCCAAAGTTGCGCAGATGTATTAGGCCCTCTAAAGGTGTTTAAAGTACCTTCTTATTCTACACAACTAGGGTGAGGTTTTGGCTCCCTAGGGTAGAGGTAGGCAACCTTCACAACTCCAGATGTTGTGGACTACCTCTTCCCTGATGCTGTGCCAGCATTACAGCTGCAAGAGCATTATGGGAGATGTAGTCTACATCTGGAGTGCCGAAGCTTGCTTACCACTGCACTAGAGTCTTTTTCTAGCCTTTATGAAGAGCCGGGATACTGCCCAGGTGTAAAGTAATTGAACCCTTTGAGTACCTGGTTCATCTGTATATATTCTGCCAAAGTGAGAGTTCCTATATAATCTATGGTAAACTGTATGTCTTGGCACACATGTTTAATACTCAGGAGCTTGGTAGACATAGTTTGGAAATAAGGCTATCCTAGCTATAAGATAAGGCTAGGGACTAATGAAAGTATTTCGAAAATTGGGCAGTCTAGATGGGCTGAATGGTTCTTATCTGCCGTCACATTCTATGTTTCTATGAAATAATTATTCAATAGCACAAAAGGGTGTGGACAGTAATATTTTGGGACCTGCTGCTGCTTGGAGTTTCTCCTCTATGTATCCATAGTGCAGTCCTCGTTAATTCTTTATAACTAAATCCCAGCCCATAAATGCATTGCTACAAAACACATTTCAATGAGTGATTTTCCTGCTAAATGCATTCAGTTGTAGGGGTGCAGGTCAATACATTCTTTACAAAATATATTTGCTTGAGGCATATTTTCTTTGTTTGTGCCCTGTGAAAAATAATCGTTGTTGCAAAATATTTTCTCAGTTTGGCAATGCTCCAATACACATTTCCTCGAGCATTCGTAAAATGTTAAGCTTTCAGTTTCTGATTATTCAGTCAGTCTATAGGGACGTGTGTTTAGTATAACCTACCACTATATAGGGTAATCAAATCGTCAGCTGAGATAATGATTGCTTACCTTGAATGCTCACTGAGCCAAAGATTTATGGAGGTGTTACCATCTGCAGAGTAAGGTTGCGTGTTTATTAAAGAAAAATAAATAAATGAAAAATACGTTCCTGATACATAACCCAGGAAAACAGGTGGATGTGACACATCTTACAATATATTGTCAGAAGAGGAAGGCGGCAGCATATAAATGTTACATTTTGCAACAAGATGTGACACATGCCCAGAAATGAGGTGACTCTTGCAGCACTAGGTGTGGGTAATCTATAATAATATACAGCTACTAGAAATCTAATTCTTTTAAACAATTCGACTTCTAAAATAAGTATAAAACACATACACACGGTGAGTAATATATAATTCAGCTTCCACAGAGGCAATTGTCAGCACAATCAAGCTTCTAAATAGAAAATTCTCAGCAGGTAGCATCGGGAATGTGTCCATCGTTGATTTATAGAGGGAGCATAGATCAAAGCACATTTTTTAAAACAGTATTCAGAGTTGTGGAAATGGGGAAAAGTGTAGTAATCTAGTTATTTGAAAATTGTTAAAGGGAAAAAAACTGTCTAAACACCGATGTGTATGTATATGCAGTTTGTGTGTGAATTGGAGAGGGCGTGATGTATACTGAGTTTCAGTGTGTATATCCAGGGGTGTATGTTAAGTGTACTCATCAAGTCTGTGATGTAAATGTGTGTGTGTGTGTTGTTTGTATGTGAAATGTAGATTACCATTTGCATACAATTTATTTATTTGTAAAATAATTTCCTTAAAGAGGTGACCATTTGACCCACAGCATGGCACTATTGTACCTGTCAATCTTCACTTTGTGGGTCTGATGGAAGCGGGATCTACTTGTTAAATGTCAGTTAAAAATGAGAAAGAGCTGCCTCCTAGGTAAGAGGTTAAACTGTTTTACAATGGTTTGGCTTCTTACTAGTGTGCAGTAGTAGTTATGGTGCTTGGAGTGTTTCTTTAAAACATTTGAAAGTGTTTAACACTAATTGAAGAAGGGGGTGAGGGGGAGCATTCCAGGAGCAGTAACTAATAACTGATTATAGTACCTAGAATGTCCCATTAAATACTTTGATGTTATTATTTAATACTTAAAGTGTAATCAAACAGTGAGCTCTGCACTCATAAGGTTTCAACATGATGCATCTAGTCAGTCACATCCTCCCTTGTGTTTCTGCCTGACTGCAGTTTTTTCTTTACTGCATACCATTGCTGTGACCCCCGTTTACTGAAATCCTGGCACATAACAGATAGTATCTTGAAAGGGAGCTTCCTGTTCATATAATTACAGCATGTATCACTATGTCCTGCTGCAATAGTGAAAGTAAAATCAAAGTATGGATTGCAGGTTAATAACTATTTGTTTAGTCTAAAATAAATTCTAAGATAGAAACATATAATGTGACTGCAGACAAGAACCATTTGGCCCATCTAGTCTGCACAGTTTTCTAAATACATTCATTCCCTGGCCTTATTTTATAGCTAGGATAGCCTTATCCCTATCCCAAGAGTTTTTTTGGGGGGGGGGGTTTAAAGTCCAAATTATACTTCTATCTTCATTACTCTGAAATGAAATGTTACAGCTTTGTTTGTTTTTGGAATCTGTGTTTATTGAGAGTTTACAATGATACAGTCTGCATTAAAAGATACAGTGTAAGAAATGTCAAACAAAGAACACATTGCAGAGCAACTTGCAGTGTATATCAAAATAACAGGTGCTTTAACTTGGTAGTCTCATAATATTGAGTAGTAGACAAAGGCAACCTGACAAGCCACGGTGACACTCGCATGTCAAACCAACAAAAATATTAATCTAACCAGCACTGAACGTTGTGTTAACGTCAGCTCAACTCCAGCAATGCCAGCTCTGTGAAAGTCCTTCATCACAACAATGCACCTCACTTTCTTACAAGCGACTTTGTGGAGTCAGTCACTTATTGCTGTCACCTGAATTAAGTGACAGAAGGGGGGGGGGGGGATAAAACTGTGGAAGAGAAACAAAGAGGGGAGGAAGACAATTAAAATAGACTATTATAATATATAAATAATTATTTCCTTCGTATCATATATTCCTTGTACCGAAACATTGCACACTGTAAGCTGCAATTAACGAGGTGTACAGGGCACCTAAGCCCCAACGCCCTTCCAGTCCACAAGAAAGGATGAAACCCTATTGGCTCCTTCCCATATTTAGTGAGGTCCGTGGTGTCCTCAGCCAATGGAACCAAGCATTCATGCATCAAGTGTTTTATTTTTCGGTAGTAGGGAGTCCAGGCTCAAAGGGGGTGGGGGGGTGGGGGGTCATCTGTCAAAGGTCAATTATACTGTGGCCCTCCACCCAAAATAGCAGTATCATCTGGTAGCTCCACCAGAAATGCAGGAATGTTCCTTCATCACTCATACGTCGCCAGCAACTATCTAAGAAGCCAGGGAGTCTAGAATGGAGAAAGGAGAACGTGCTGTATCACAGAGATTATATCTTAAAGGAAGTTTCCTGAATTTTCACAGAGATTGTCCCAGTATGCTTTAGTTGAAAGAGTTGTTACCATTCCTCATCGGGAATTGTGCATTCACTCTTAGCTCTGTATAGCCCTGCAGTAATTACCATTTTGGAATGGAATCCTTGAAGAAAAGTGTTATGACAGCGTAGACCATCATTACTGAAGATGCACAGGACAGTACAGTACACCATAGCTAGCCTACTGTATTTTTACATGGATCTAGTGGTAAAATTAAGTAGAAGCATGAGAAATACTCTACTCATACAATATATGGATTTAATATTCCACATTTGAAGGCTCCCTTATTCTTTCCTCTGACCTATATCTATAGTAGCCAGACTTTCGAAATCTCTTCTTTCTGTCTAGTCTGCGGCAAGCTGATCAACTTTAGCGACTCTTTGTTGTGGTTCAGCTGTTCCTTGGTTCAGCTGTCTCCTTCCCCCACTGATCTCAGTGGAATGGAAGGGAGGCAATTAGAGAAGAGACAGCCAGAAAGAAACAAAGGCAGGCATGAAGCAATACACAGGAGCAGAGAACAGCCATTATGTTCTGTCTATCATACTGTTGACCCTGTGCCTTCTTCTGAGGATTTATCTAATCTTTTGGACCTCGTAACTAACCTCCTGAGCAAATCTTGACATTTCTAACATGTCTGATGACACCTCTCTATAAAGTAGATTTGTGTGCATTGTAGTAGTTTATTTTAATATGCTAGTTTACACTTTACAGAGACAGTCAAGGCAGTTAAGTTACAATAACATAAATCCTGCTTTATTTATTCCCATGATGCCTCGCTGCTGTTTTGTTTGCATAAAATATGCATGCAGTTTTGGCTTCATTCCTTTAAAAGGAAGTGGTGAAGAAAAATTTAAATTGCGTGAAATCATGGTTGGTTTTCTGTGGGAGAGTCCAAAGCAACACTCGTGCAAGTAGACCTGTTTGTGTAATCAAAAACATCAGAATTAAAGTAAATTAAGGGAATTTCGTCCTTACTAGCACCTCTCATTCTGCGTCCCGGGGTCACAGCTAGCCTCATACAGATTTACGTGTACCTGTGTATTAAGAACTAAAAATACCCCCATTACGGGAGGCTCAAGAACATTGAAATTACAAGAGGGTTTAATTTAAAGGTTATAGATTCTCTATTGTGTTTTTAATTAGACGTGCCAGCGGGTGAAATTTGAGAATTATTTCTCTGCTGCCTCTTCCATTATCTATACAGAACAGAATGAACTGGATTAGGAAATGTTTGAAGTCTGGATTGTCACCCCTTATTTCGTTGGGAGCATTCTATTTTTAAGTGAAGCATGTAAGGACGATAACGAAACATAATTTGTGCTGAATGTGTCAAATAGTTTTGGTACGTTTCAGTGTCTTTCTTCTTCATATGTGTGGGGTTTTTTTGGGGGGGGATGAATTGGCTTTTTAAATTATCCTGTTAGAATGACTCGCATCAAAGCAGTTGTGGCGCCTCACGAGTAACTTAAACAATTATCCGTATTAAACGGCCAGTCTGACATAAACATAAACACTACATGTTGTTATTGTAGTAATGTGCTAGCAGGCTGCCAGCACTGCCTCCAAGTCTGGGTCAGACCATTTTGAACATGCTTAGCCTATCAGTGCAAGTTCATAAAACTTACTTGGGTATGGGCTGACTTTTGGTGGTTATGGTGCTTAGACTGCTCCTTTAACAATTACTGATATTTGTGAAAGGACTTGAAAATATAATCATGAATGTTCCTTTTATTCCTACACTGCTGAACTACAGGGATAGTGCAATGAGCATAAAGCATTGTAACATTATTATTTAAATTGTGCCAGCAAATTCCATAGCGCTGTGCAATGGGTATCATAACCATGATATTCAGCTGCATTGATTAGGGTACTTTGGAGAGTTTTTTTTTTTTTTTTAAACTAATTTAATTGTAGAGCACTGTGAGAACATGTGGTACCAGTTTAAAAGAACTCTGAAGACACCATAACCACTACAGCTAAATGTAGTTGTTCAGGGCCATTAGTCTGTACCTTCAGAAAAGACAGTGTTCACACTGCTGCCCAGCGCCATCTCTAGTGGCAGTCACTCTAACCACCACTTGAGGGACTTCCTGGGTTTCGGTCCTGCAAAGATTGGTGCAGAGCGTGAAGACACTGAATAGCAATCATAGAGTTGCATTGAGTCAATGCATCTCTGTGAGGAGACGCTGATTCGCACATGTGCACTAGCCACCCAGTCCTTCCTTATGGGAATGCATTGGATAGGCCGAGATCGTCAGGATTTGTTATCTCAGCCAGCGGAGGCAGGGCGATCGTGGCAAGACCGCAGCTCTGGTGAATAAAGTAAATAGCTTTATTTTTTTAAGGAATGGCTGGTAATCTAAATAGTTAGCATAAAATTATAGTGTTGTGTTTGTAGTGTTCCTTTGAGCTGCTTTCCCCCAGATGAACCCTTCCACATTACAGTTTAATCTCACTTCATGTTACTTGATTCCAGCAAATATAAATTCTGTTCGTACAGACTAATCTGTGCAGAATAAATACTAAGTGGTTTATAAACTAAACAGGGTATATAGTGTGGCTTTGCCTAAAGGGATTGCTAAATGTTATGCAGAAATCCCTAATGATCCAGAGCACAAAGTATGAGATCTGTGCCCTTTGATATCTCTTCTACTTGAAGCTATGTGTCGTCATCAAAATGATGACAGTATACCAAAGTAGCCTTCAATATAAGACTTGGCAGAAAGGTTTGATAAGTGCACACATCTGGTGCTGCCTTTCTATTCCTAGGAAAGGTAGGAAAATTGTAGAGGAACCATTACCTCGCTAGAGCAACCTGCACCCTGGACAGTTCATTGGGACGAGTGTACGGAGGAGCTTAAGATCTCCCCAGCTGAATCATGACCAATATGCTAAATTTAACACATATTCATGGAAAATGGCAATCTTTTATTGCATGAAACGTGAGTGATACTATCTGGATCCACTGACTTTTTTTGAGATTTGAAACTTTCTGGCCCAGACAGGGGAACCTGGCAATTTCATTAGTATTTCTTCAAAATTGTAAGTATTCTGTAAAAAAAAAATAGAAAGTCCTCAGCAAAGTTTAGTTTCTGTCCACGGGGATCGTTCCGCCTCTTAAAAATTGCTTATGCTGGACCCCACAAGAATAAAGTGTGTCTGCAATCAAAGAAAGATCACTTTTAAGTCGATTTACGTTTGTATAATACAGGTTGATTTCAGAGCTCATTCAAGATGCGTTCAATCAGCTTGGCCGGTGCTCCCCGAGTTTAGTACTTTAATCTGTCACACAGCAAATAACTTTTTGCAGCTGCACATAATTAGATTATTTGAACCTGATTCAAATTGTTTTTGTATTATTTTTTTTTTAGAACTCATCAATCTCCTGGAACAAAACATGTTTTTGATTAGGTGAAATGATCTGGATCCTGGGAAGCCAACAATATATAGCTGTTCAGCTATTGTTGAATTCCCTTGATCCTTCACAAACATGGGTATTGGAACCAGGAACAGGCGAAGTTCTACCTGTTGGCTCCACCTGCACTAGATTAATGTCCCCTCGAGTACCAATTCAATTACAGGCTTCACACGGGTAATTATAGTTTAATGAATCCTTTACAGAAACGCCACTTGTGTTAAAATTAAGTTTAAAAGGACCTATTTCAACCCCAATGTGAATTACAGGACTGGCAAATCATCCTCACTATTAACCAGCAACTGTTCAAAAAAGTTTTTATTTTTTATTTTTATTTTTTTTTTTTACCAGGGCTCGAGGGGGGTACACTGCCTTACTGTATCTCTTGGCAGTGAAAGGGTAGTACTAAGTAGATCATATTTGGTTACCCAAGGGTGAAGCCTATCCTTCACACCGCAGTCTAATATGATTGGTGTGTCTCTGCCCTGCACCTCCCCCCCCACCCCTCCTTTCCTGGCCATGTCTGATTGTGAAACAAAGCAGACCATTGTGAGTGTTGATCAGCATCTGGAGTTTAATGCAGCATAATCACAATGTGACTGTGGGGTGTATGCTGGCAGCAGATATTTTCAATTATGCAATCCTGGCTAAAAGTAAAGCTTCTTAGTAGTTTTGTAGAGCTTTTTATGCTACAAATAAGCCATAACCAAGATTTAAGAGGCACCAAGAACAGACAACCAGTTGATTGCTTATCCTATGGGGGGGTACCCACCCAAGGGGTTAATTTGTGCAGAGAGAGCCTAGTTCTTGCTTGTTATAGTGATCGGACCCCTGGGGCTCTGCAAACCTGATATGCTGGTAGTGAAATCCTCTCTTTGCAAAGGGCCATTATTTTGGCCTCTGCTTGACCTAACTAGTTTGACATGTTTGATTTCCCTCTAGACAGGTCTGTGACTTTATTACCCGTTATAAATATAATAAGACGCGTGTTGAAACTACCTATTGGCAAACCTTACTCTAGGAACATCCATTCTATATTATTTATAAAGCTCCAACATATGATTTAGATACTATGCAAACTATACTACACTAAGTAGCTTGTGCATTTATAGCAAAAAAACATGCAAGCTGTGCAGGTGTCACCTTTCTTAAAACTATTGAAACTTAGAAGAGAACTAAACATAGATGGTAAACGAGCACAGTGTGTAATGCTGCCCACTCTAATGGCACACAGTAAGTGGCAATATACTAGTGATATAAAGTGGGCATTTTGGTGATGTTAAAGTTGGAATCTCTTCCACAGTTGTTTGCAGCTAACCAGGAATTGAGGCAGGATCCTAGAGGTTCATGGCAAACCTCTTTTTATTAAAACGTCGTGTCTCATGCTTGAATCTGTGAATTCTTCTGTATAGGACATTGCACTCCATGGTTCTGTGCTCAGCGTTCTCTGTTTGTTATGATGCTGGGGCAGTTTAGTAGCAGAATTGTGAGTGAAACACTAAGCTTCCGGTGATAGTACTCCCCTCATTCTACCTGTAGCAGTGTCTGCTTCTTGGAAAAGTGATATATTAATGATATCAAGAGGAGCGGCTTGGGGCTGGGGGTGTTTAGTACAACATTTTGTTTATTAAATCTAGAACTAGCCCTTTTAACATCTGCTCCTATGTATAAACCATAGAGGTTTTTGCATTTATTTTTAGGATACTGTTGCCCTTTAAAGACAGACTAGCACATGAAAGATTATCCTGGGACTTGCTGGTGTGACTTTTGAGTAAATGAAAGGCAAATTCTGATTCACACGAAAAGTATTTTTGAGATCACAGACCGGGTTCTTCACAAAAATGTCAATTGTGGGGAATTCAAAGTGAACTTCAAATTTTAGTCCAAAATAGGAGAAATTGAAATATAGCAGACTTGTGGATTTCCCCTCCCCCCCCCCCACCTACCCCCCCTGTTTGTCCATGCTTATCATGGCCTAAAATGTACTTTTTAATCCATTCTTTAGTAAATAATATTTTATGTAAGAATTCTGACTCTTCATTTAGCAACCAGTACAGATAGACATTATTGCTTGTGTGCTACAAAATTCTAAAACATTTCCTCTGTATAGATGTAAAGTGGCTCTCATCGTTTTATTATGGTACTTGCAAAAATGATTGAAAATAACTTGACTACATGGTTTTATTGTGACACTTAAAGGGATCCTGATTGGGTTATTTTTCCATTTTATTTTTGTGTAATGTGTGTGTGTGTTTAAAAATCATGCTTTGCAATGTGAAGTTCTTTGCCTTTTTCTGTTCTCCATCCTTCTGCCTTGCTTAATGACATTGCAAAGTTCAGTATAGACTGTTGTGTACGTATATCACACTGATAACTAGTTCTTATGCTGCTGTAATCTGATTGCAGCAACTAAAGTCTATTCGCATTAAAGGTCATCTCTAAGAGTTCTTATGTAGTGTTTTGTGTTTAGATCTGTGTTCAGTAATTTTTCAATGTGTAAATCTGTTGTGTATAGACTTTTTATATTTTTCTTAATGAACTATATTTTATAAGGGACCCTTTAATGAAACCAATTTACCCCTGCAACATATTTTGCTGATGTCCCTTCTTTCAATGCATGTTTCACTTACCTTCATGCCGTTTATTAATTCTTCTACAACTGGCACTTTATCAACAGACTGCATGCCATCACTATCATTGGCATATTTCTCCTTGCTTGCTTTGCATGCCTTCTTTCAGTCTTGTCTGTTTCAAACTCATGTGTGAGCAGCCAATTAAAGGTGTAGGGATGGGAATAAACTGTTCTATCCCATTTACCATGTTGGATGGCTTGGTTACCTAAATAAATTGCGAAAACTCAGCTCTGTTCAGAGTCCAAATTCTCCCAGCAGCCTAATCCTCCTTGCTTGACATCACGCCGGAGGGAGAGGATGGACTGAGCAGAGGACATGGGCAGGGTGGGGGGCATGCCGCCATTGGCTGTCTGGCACCAGCATGCTGATCGTGTTGGCCTCAGACGCCAGTGTTGCACAGGATTAACATTGCTCAGCTCAGAACTTTGTTCTGTGTTGGCTAATGACGCTGCTGGAAGTGAAGGTACAACCACTGGCAGCTAAGGGGCTAATCTGTGTAGTTGCAAGGGTTGAAATGCTGCAGACTGATAGCACCATCATTACTTCAAACCAACGAAGTGGTCATGGTGTTTTGAATAACCCTTTAAATGGTACATTCACAGAGCTCTGTGTAGTAATTGTCTATTTCAACCGTAGGTCATACAGTTTCTAACAACATTGTGAAAAGTAGCATAATTTATGAAAGTGTCTGTTTTTATAAATATCTATTTATACAGCACTGTGTTAAGTCTTAAGCAGCTTTAATCTTATTAGGGCCATTTATCTGAGCAGTAATTGTTTTGTTTTTTTACGGGGAAGAAAATGCATATTTGTAAACCTGAAGTAGGCATAAAGAAAGAGTAATACAACAAAGATTAACAAAATTTCCTTTGTTTTAATGCTTTTGTTTTACCAGGTTTTATTTTAGTTTTTTTAAATATATATAATTTATCTTTATTTAATTTTTTCATCCTTTTGATATTAAGCATTGCTTTTCCAAAAATAATTTTAAATCCTATCCAAGGAGCTTTTAAAAGCACACTGGTAGTGACCCCATGCATTAAATACATATATGGCTTTATAGTTCAGTCCCAGGTAGAAGTTCCGTTCATTACATAGCTTACTTTAAGGAACACTATAGGGTCAGGAACACAAACATGTATTCCTGACCGTATAGTGTTAAAACCACCATCTACCCCTCCCTTGCCTCCCTAAATATAGTAAAATCTTACTTGTATTCAAGTCTGCAGCTGCTGGCTCTGCCCCTGTCTGCTGACATCACCAGAAGTGGTGTTCTGAGCCAATAACAATGCTTCCCCATACGATTGGCTGAGACTGTCAAGGAGGAAGATAGGGGCAAAGCTAGCTTAAGTCAAACACAGCCCTGGCCAGTCAGCATCTCCTCATAGAGATGAATTGAATCAATGCACCTCTATGAGTAAAGTCCAGTATCTGCATGCAGAGAGTGGAGACACTGAATGTTGTGATGCACACTAGGCAGGACTGCCCCAGGAAGCACCTCTAGCAGCCATCTAAGGAGTGGTCAGTAAAGTTGTCACCAGGCTGTAATGTAAACACTGTATTTTCTCTAAAAAGACAGTATTTACTGCAAAAGGCCTGAATGGAATGATTATACACACCAGAACAAATCCAATAAGCTGTAGTTGTTCTGGTGACTATAATGTCTCTTTTAATAGTTTTGTTCCTCCTATCAGGTGTTCTGCCACTTCTGATATTTCGATAGCCCCATTTTCAGTTTTGAGAATAGGATTGTGCACTACATTCTCCAAAACGGTCAACTGCATAAGTTTGCAGCCCTGCTTGGGCTGTGACACTCAAAGGGACTTGCATAGTGTGCACACGCTGTATGCAAAATGTAAGTGGAAACGACGGAAGGTAATATTTTTTTTTTGTCTTCAGAGGGAGATGACCTGCTTTCAGGTATTGAAGAAAACTTGAATTACATTTTGTTTTCTTGTGTTTTGCTCAGACGCATTTTGTTTTTCCTCAGAGTGGTTTGAGACTTTCGCACAGTACTGCAGTTATTAAAGGGACGCTGTAAACACTATAAACATGTCATCTCTATAAATTGGTTATAGTGCCTGGAGTCCCCTGGTACAGTCCCTCCAATCAGTGTAAACACGTTTTTGAGCAATTTAACACTGAATAAGGGTATCTGGCCACCCACAACCCAGCCTCCACCAGAGGTTACACACTTCCTTAGTCATACCATTTCATACATGTAAAGGGCACTGTGATAGGCCGGAAGTTGTCAGCTGACACAGCCAAACACGGTCTCCCATTTTTGCTCACAGATGCGATTTCTGCTGGGGACTCTTGTGTAGCAGTTAAAAATGGTTTAATGTCAGGGGAATTCAGACACTATAACCCCATCAACGAGATTAAGCAGAGACTACAATGCCCCTTTAAATGAGCATTCTAAGTACCATTAACACTTTAGCTCATTGTGATTATCATGTTTTTTAGACCCTCTTATCACATCTTGTCAAGCTGTTTTAAGCACAAAGGTTATCCCATCTGCTACTGCTCTACTAATATAGAATTAAACTTTCGCATTAGTTGTCCAACTTTGGATGGCAATTATAGGCTGAAAGATATAGTTCTCTCAGCCTATTATTACCCTCCAAAGCTGGACAGTTAATGTGGAGTTAACATTTGCAATAGCTGTACAAAAAGTTTAGGCTCTAAGAACTGAGAAACATTTGTTTGTTTTGGTTATGTGTTTGTTTTTTCTTCTTCAAACCTCTCGAAAATGCTTTTTACACTAAACAAGGAGTTTGCAATGAGTGTTATCTCTTATGGACCTTAGAGTGCTCATTTAAACAAATGGTTAATATTGGTTATAGGACAGCCATCCAATAGAAAATGAAGAGTAGGGGCTGCCATCTTGAAACAGTGAGATCATCTCCCACCATTCAAAGCAGGAGAAGTAGAATAAAATTGTAAAAAAATAAAATAAAATTGTAAACCTCCTACGGCTGTAAGCATCTGGGAGGTTAATTATGTATATTTTCCAAAACTGTTTTACGACAAGAGACTGTAAATTTATAGGGATATTCATAAAATGCACAGGAATTCTATGCAACAGATCACTTTCGTTTGTAATAAACCACAATTTCAAATGTAAAATTTAATTATTGCCTTAGTGAAATCACAGCTTAAGATGGCAGCCTCCTGACTACCTATGTTTTAACAAATTAGTATAGTTGACGAGGTGTGTAAAAAGGCTTTGTCCTAAAATCAAACACTGTGTATTAATGAGACAAAGCCTTTACAGACTGTTCTCTGACACCTTCTCTCCAGACCTCCACCCCCAGCACATTACTCCAGATTCACCAGGGTCTCCTTTTGAGATGATTGCCAGTGGCCAAGGTTTTGAGTTCAAGGACATCTCTGGTGACAAACGAACTGTCATCCCGGAATTTCCAACAGAAAATATTAAGAGATCCCCGTTTGATGAACGAACAGAGACTGTCCCAGTCTCTGATGCTGGATGCACAAAACCAGGATTTTCTGTCCACAATGAAGAGACATTTGTGCATTTGGATTCCACAGTGCATGCCAAAAAGGCCACTGAGAGTGTATGTGATGATCAGTATTTTGAAGGTGAACAATTTCTCGCTGGAGTGGTTTCTCATCCCCTATCAGGCAAGAAAGCCAGAAAGGATCCAGTAGACTTACAGCAAGCTCTGTCATTTGATGAATTTTCTTCTGAAAAAGAAGCAGAATCCACTTTCGAAACAAAATGTGAAATGCGATGGCCAGATGCAGAAGAAGAAGTTGACAGTTCTGGTGAGTCTGATGACACAGTCATTGATGCAGGCTGGAGGTTTAAGAATTCTGGAGCAGAGAGAGGGGAACGCAATGAAGATGGCTGGGTGGAGCTCAGTGAATCACAGAAGTTGGAAAAATCTGGATTTTGTGTGCAGGAAAAAAATAGCAGTACTACCACAGAGCGTGAAAACCTTGTCAAAGGAGAACCCATATTTTCAAATAAACCTGCATGTCTACCAACTGATGGCCGCACAGATGTGTCTAAAACCCCTTTACAGATCCCAGACTCTCCACAGAGTGAAGCTTTTGTGGACTTGGCAGAATCATGCATGACGTGCCCATCAATGGCATTTGCTCAACGTCCACAAGCAGAGACCTTGGATGACAAAGTGCAGGAAAATCTAACCATTGAAGCACTGCGATCACTCGCTGCAGGGGACCAGGAGTGGGACTCAGAGAGCAGAGAGTCATCTCCAGAAATATTATGTCCACTGGCACAGTTGAGCAACACTCAAGATTTAATGGCATCTACTACAGTCCAAAAGGAATCACTATGGGGAGGGAACTCTGATGAAATTCCATACCCGAAAGGTAAAAGAGGATCAATATTCGATGCACAGTTGAACAATGGCATGCCACGTGCACCATGGGCATGACGCACACTCCGTTGACTTGCTCTGTTCATGCCAAGGCATGAATCATTGGCATGCACCGTAGATGTTGTCACCCATTGTTGGCATGCATTGTAGATGTCCAGTTAAGCACTGTTGATGCTACCCAGCATGCTTCACTCACTAATGACACTTCTGCCTGTCCTCTACATGCTCCAGCAATGCACTGCCAGATCCTTGCCCTCTCTGCTTTTTTTCCTGCCTTTTATAAAGGAACATATTTGGATCAGCATGTGTGCACCTACCCTCCATGCTGCCCGCTTTTACCCTTTACCTCCTTTATGCATGCAGATGTGTATATATATTAATATTCTTTTATATGTATTTACAGACACAAGGCTGTTGTTGGGAAATTAAGGAGTAATATTAGAGAGTTTGAATAGTTTTAACTATGGGGATATGCACAGTAAACCTTGCACATTTCCAATCCGTTTTTGGGGTTTTTTTTTTGTTTTTTTTATTTTTTTTATCCTGGTTCTCTTAATGTCCTCTTTCAGGTATAGCCTACATTGCCAGGAGAATGGGGCTCTTTGAACATACAGAACTGTTTGCAATGTCAGACTTTAATATGCATACCCAAATGGTGTAAAAAGAAACCCTTTTCATCTTGCTGTAGTTCTTTGTGTCTAAAGACTGTCCTTTTATGACCGTTTATAACTTTTATATTTTGGGCAGAAACATCTGCCTGGATATCTGATTGGCCTCCTTGGCTTTCTTACTCTCTGTTTGCTCCACCGAGCTAACAGTGGTGGCGGGTGCCCTGTGTTGGCGCATGCCTGCTACAGTTCAATGGCAAGCATAGGACAGTTTCAAATGCGTGCTTGAAGTTGCAGCTCTAGTATAGAGGCTTCTCAACAACCAGCCTTTGATTGGTGGCAGCTGGCACAGACTGAAAGTCTGATCTGGAGAAGATGGGGAGGGCTAACAAAGGCTTAAGACCTCTTGTGTTTCAAGCCGTTCTCCCGTATGTGTAAATTAAATGTGGCTCCAGTTAACATGCCATCATCCTCATATGATAGACATCTCCCATTCATCTCTGTGGGCGATCATTGTAGCTGCACCATGCATGCCCCCTTATACGTGGTGCTCTTACACACACTACACCCACCAGTAGCTTCTTTTCATTTTGCTTAGTTTGGATTCGCACTTTCTATGTATGCGTGGTATAAGAGCAACTGTTACTTGTGAGATCTTTTTTTTTTTTTTTTTACAACCTGCTAACTAATTAAACATTCGCTGTCATTATGTTTACTATTTTTCATTTTTTAAATTTTTTTTTTTTTTTTCTCATATGTGAGTCTGTCAAGGCATAGTCTTGCAAATGATTAGCTTAATTAGGATTAGGATCTCGCCTCTTTACACCCAAAGTTTTTGGAAATGTGTTCTATACTTATCTCCTCGGCACACCTCACTCCCCTAAATACTTGAGTGGGTTGGTATGTGTTTTTTGTTTTTTGTTTTTTCCTCTTTAAGTACTAATATCAGTCTGTCATAACAAACGAGTCTTTAAGGATTCTGTTCTACAATGGAAAACCCCCACTCATTTCTCAACAATGAGGGGTAGAGCTGTGTATGAATAGAGGGATATTGTATTCTGATATAAGATCTTTAGGGAGCAGATTGTGATAACTCTAAAGAAAGTAATTGGTTCCTAAGTGGCTCATATAAATTGTGAAACTGTAGCATTTTAGTTTTGTGTGTGTCGCCTTTAGAAAACAGTATATGAAGGATACAGGATGAAAAGTATAATACGGTATAATTCATACAATTTAGCATCCATCTTAAAGGGACATTATATGCACCAAGACCACTTCATATCATTAAGGTGATCTGGCTGCGGTGTCCCAGTCAGAAAAACCACTAGAGACATTTATTTCCCCCTAACGGAGTTTTACTCCATGAAATGACACGTTGCATGAGGACATCTAATGTTTTCTAAATCCCCATAGCAAAGCATTGATTTCCTGTGCAGAAGCTTTAATTCATGTGTGGCACTTGTTGCGCACGCACACTAGGTCCCTCCCATCACTGTGATACTGGAGGAGGAGATATAGGCAGTGCCCCTGGGGGGCTTTGATCTGGAAAGAGGTAAATGTAAAATAGAGGTTGTGGAACCTATTAAATTGGGTACAGGGACACTATAGCGTTAAGAATTCAGGCTTGTATACCTAACACTATTGTGTTCATTTAATTTTATCTGCATGCGTAATCGTATATCTCCAAATGATATGTTATAGACTTTTTGAATATTACTAAATTAGGATAGGTTTTTTTTTGTTTGTTTTTTTTGTACATATGCAGGGTTATTCAGGTGAGAATTCAAATTTAAGGTTAAAATTGCTGAACCGGAAAATTTCTCTAAGTTGGCTATGCTCTTAGTTCAGCTACTTTGGCTTTACATTTGAAATTTACTTTGAATTCTCAGTTGAGTGAATAACCCTGCTAGTCTCCTAGGTAGGCTAACTTTTCCAGATTTTATAAAGTCTTCTCTTTTAATTTGCTTGTTTCTCTTTGGAATGATAATATGACAGAGACTCTTAGACATTTTTATTAATTTGTTGTTTTGTTTTTTTAAATGCAGGTTTTTTTTATTTTGAGAACGCAGTCAAAACTAATTTTAAAAAGAAAGTTAACCCTCAATATCCCTCATTTGAAGGTTATCTAAAGTATTTGACCTTCCAGTGCCTTGCTACTGACAAATGTTCAATCTTCCAGCCAGACAACGATCTCCCATCACTTTTAATTGGAAAATGAGTGAGCACTTGCTGTCTAATCTCCTAAAATTGAGAAAAACAAATGGCAGCAGCCTCTTGTGCAACCAGTAATCCCCTGACAAATGTAAAAAATGCCAATCATGGCAGCATTCCACATTGGCTCTTTAGCTTGACTCTGTAAGAGAAGAAGACTGACTGTAAAGTAGTTTCTGTATTTTAGGGGAAACCATAACTACTGCAGCTTGCTGTCGTGGTTATGGTGCCATGAGTCACCTGCTACTGCCACAGTGTAATTTGTCAAACTGTTTTAGTATGGCTTGACAACATTCATGGTTCCCGTTGGATCCCCACGGCTGCATATTCTACTTGCAGTCTTCTCCTTTAGAAGAATCCACGTAGCTTTACCGATCTGTGCAGGGCTGTGCTCATTGGCTTCTTGTCAGATGTATTGTCTGTGTTTATCCTGCAGATGCAATAGGTCATTTAGTGCAGTGGTCCCCAACCCAGTCCTCATGGATCACCAACAGTCCTGGATATACGTATTTTCATGTTTTATTCCAATAGAGATACTGACAAAACCTGGACTGTTGGAGAACACCGATTTAGTGGACCCAAGTAAGTTTTCAACATGTCCTAAAGTGGTTTGACAAATTACGCTTGGATGTAGTCAGTAGACTTTAATAGTTACACTACAGTTGACTGTTGTGCTTTTGAGTGTTCCTTTAAGCCAAAACCATCGCACTCGTATGTTGCAAGAATTAAATATATTGATACTGTATAAACTGCAATCATGTCCTAAAAGTGTCCTTATTTAAAAAAAAAAAAAAAAAAGGAAATAAAGCACACTTACTGAGTCATGTTTCTGTTTATATAATGATGGTTCTCCATTTGGGAGAAAGTTGCATACTTTTTGGTTTAGCAGTCATAAGCTCGTGATGATTTTCTCTAGCAGGAAATGTTTTTTAACGCTTTAGTCATACAGGGTTCTAAATGCAGAGGATTTCCATCTGAAATATATTTTTATTTTTGGTATATCTGGTTTAGAATTGATAGAATTGGCTTTATTATCTTGGTAAGCTTTTAATGGCTCGTATTTGTACATGTAGAAATTACGGACAAACACAGCATTTAAAGGGCTACTATAGGCCAATGGGAAAGTATTGTGATTGGCTGAGATCATCACTTCTGATGATGTCAGCCATGGAGGCAGGTGGGGGGGGGGGGCAGAGCCAGCACCAGCAGACTGGAATAAGGTAAGATTTTACTATATTTAGAGGGTATGGGGAGGCAGTTTTTGTTTTTGTTTTTTAAGCACTGTACTGTCCCTTTTAGATGCAATTAAACATAGACAATTAAATATGCAGTGCTCTTGTCTGTAGGGCAACAGACAGCCTGGGTCATCAAAATAAAAAAAACACGTGTAGCTGACCAGTTGGACCACTTTTAAACATGCTGTGCTCTCCATGTTTGTCTGCTGTTTGGGCATACTCAATAGTAGAGAAGGAGGCATACACTTCAGACCAACGTACATGGGCTACCATGCAGGACTAGTATGTAAATACAAGTGCAGCAACAGGGGCTGTTGAAGTTTCCTCCTACATAAACCACTTTTGGCAGAGGTTCAAAAATAGAACACTTACATTGCGTGTGTCTGTGGGTTCCTCATTTTGTATGTGCAATGCTTTAAAACAGCAAGAAAAGCCTCCATATAAATATTACATAGCCAGGTTCTAAGTTTATTAGCACCAAATGTCTGTCATAAGTAATCCTGCTTGTCCTGGCACATTGTGTTTTAATTTTTTTTAATTTACTGCATTATTCACATTCTACTTAAAGGAACACTATGGTGTCAGGAATACAAACATGCATTCCTGACACTATAGTTCTAAAAACACATTTTAGGCCCCCGGTCTCTATGTGGCTGGCTCCACTTCCTTGGCTGAGAACATCAAGTTTGATCTTAACCAATGCAATGCTATTGCGCATGTGTGGCAAAACTTCAAGCTGCACCAATCAGCATCTCCTCATAGAGCTGCATTGAATCTGAAAAGACAGTGTTTACATTAAAATGCTTGCAGGGACAGGATATAGACACCATAACACACTTCCTGCATGTGACCCACACAGCGTCTTCACAATTCTTATAGATAAATAAAAAAAATTAAACTTCCTTTATTGCACAGTGTGTTTAGTTTAGAATTTCTCATCTCCTGCTCTGTTAATAGCTTGCAGGATCCTCATGTGTGCTTAAATGGTTACTCCAAGCACCAGGACTACTTAAGTGATTTGAATTAGCCATGGTGCCTGGAGTCTGTATGTGCATTGTTTTGCTTTGAAACACTGCACATACGGAGTTTAATTTTTTTTTTTTTTTCTGGAATGTCATTACACAGTCTGGGGCAAAAGATAATTCATTAGCTAAGAGCAGTCAGCTGAAAGGATTGACACCAAGCTTCTGCAGACCTGATAAATACTGCTGTTTACAGAGTTACTTTGTTACACCTACCTTCATGACCACTTTGACATTTTGAAAAGGTTATGGCGGTAAGGGCCTCTATGTGAAGCGTTTCTGCTTAAGACGCTGTAAAACCAGCAATATACTTGCATAGTATAGTTATCTAAGTTTTAAAAAAAAAAGACTCTTAAGTCCATCAACCCTGATGCCCTTTCTTTTATGCGGTTGATCCAAGAGAAGGCAAAAAAAATAAATTTGTAGCCATTTCCACTTATGTCACAAAAAGGGGGGAATCGTTCTTGACTCAATATTGGCAATCAGTATTCTTCTTGATTCAACAACTTGTTTGCAAACATATCCGTTATATCCTTAATATTCTGTTAAGCTAATCCAGTTTTCCATTCCTCTCACTAGTTGTTGTAGCTCACCACTTTTTCTAGTTCTGCAATATTCTTCTATAAAACATGTGCCCAGAATTGCACTCCATATTCAAGATGGGCTGATACCACTGATTTATTAAGCGGCAACATTATATTTTGATCTCGTGAATCAAAACCTCTTTTTATATATGAAAGCACTTTACTAGCGTTTACAATGGCAGACTGGCATTGCACACTGTTGCCTAGATTGTTATATATAATTTAATTTTAATGTTGCCCCTAACTCAACCACAACCCTTTTTAATGTATAAATGGCTTGTGGGTTCCTTATTCCAAAATGCATGAACTGGCATTTATCTGTATTGAATCTCATCTGCCACTTGCCTGCCCAGTCCCCCAATTTATTAAAATCTTGCTGTAGAAAAGTTATATCATGTTGAGAGTGTATGTTTAGCTGTATTAGTCCAGTAGACAAGATGTCGAAACCAGTATTGCAGAATATGCAATGATCCCGCTTTCACTTACTTAAAACATAGAATGTGATGGCAGAACCATTCGGTCCAACTAGTCTGCCCAATTTTCTAAATACTTTCATTAGTCCCTGGCCTTATCTTATAGTTAGGATAGCCTTATGCCTATCCCACGCATGCTTAGACTCCTTCACTGTGTTAACCTCTATTACTTCAACTGGAAGGCTATTCCATGCATCCACCACCCTCTCAGTAAAGTAATACTTCCTGATATTATTTTTAAACCTTTGCCCCTCTAATTTAAGACACTGTCCTCTTGTTGTAGTAGTTTTTCTTCTTTTAAATATAGTCTCCTCCTTTACTGTGTTGATTCCCTTTATGTATTCAATAAATAAAATAAGACTTGTAAAAATTCAATTCTTAAAATACAAACTTTTCGACAGTTTTCCTTTCTTCCTCATTTCTGAAGTAAACTATGATCAATTTGATAGTTTGACACTTCAAGTGTCAAACTCTGTCATCTTGATCAGTATTGATTAGGGCAACCAGCATAGCACATTTACTCATCCAGTTCCATTTCTGGAGTGTACCAATTATAAGGATATTTTACAGACTCTAGATGAGCGATCGCCTACTTCTATCAGTCCGTTGTAACCTTTTACAGACTCTAGACTGTGTCAGTGTTTGCTTCTTCCAACTCTGTGATGACCTACCTTGATTGGGCATTTCTACAAAATCATAGATTCTAGATCAGAGAAGGCCCTCTTTGATCAGTGATGTCTAAACTTTAACAGACTCTTCCTTTATGTTATGCAAAGCTGTGCACACGGTCTACTAGCAAGCCATGACCACTGCAGTAAAGAAAATTGCTAAGCTACTTATAACTTGCTTGTGCAAAAATAGGATATCTTGAAAATTTGACCTGCTGGTAGGTCACGAAGAAAGCTTTGAAGATCACTGTATCAGGCTTCAGCCAACCCTTGGTTCTCAGCACTATAAACACACAGCTTAGTAACAAGAGTTCATTTGAGGTTTCAATTTTTTGTCTATGTACAGAGATAAAATTCACAGAATCAAAGTGTTGAATAAGATTGTCTATCTAGATTAAAGAAAACCGGGTTCCTTTGGGCAGACTGTGTCGTGCTCTCTTTTTTCCTTATACAATTGTCCACAAAACTGCAGAACCTGTTTCAATACTAAATATTACTAGCAGTGTAACATGTTTTGAAAATAGAAAAACAGGGGCAAAAATGAATAAATGTTAATGGGTTATTTAAATTGCATTAGTTTATTTGCCCAATGCACCGAGAGGCAGGTAACCAATACGAATACTGTCCAAAATTGAATTATTCAAACATTTCATAGATTTTTCATTGTAATAAATGAAATATGACACATGCCCATCTCTCAAATCCTCTACATTTACATGTAGAGCACATGAATTCATAATGCCGATTGCAATTTGCATAATGCTATTAATTGAATAATCATCGAAACACCAATGGCTGCACTAGTAATTGTGTCACCTACCTTTTATTGATTGCAAACTCTCCAGCATGCAGTGCAATTCAAGTTTACAATGCATGATATGGCATGAACATTACAACCCTCTCTGTGTGGCTGAGTAGTGGGCAAAGTTAAAAATAAAATCTCAAAATTTAGGTATATGTAATGTAGATACAAAACATCCCTTACATTGTAAACCTGGAAGGTTGTTGGTTTACATGAATTATAGCCAAAGTACAATGAAAAGGTCTGGCACTACTTCAATCTGTGCCCAAATAAAAGGAACTTGAATAGGAGTGCCAGACTTTTTCATTTTCTTTTAGCTATATAAATTAACTCCCTGCAGTAAAGCGAGTGCTTTCTTTTGTTTATGCCACATAAATTATAAAACATGTGATCAATTTCAAATTCTAAGCAGAGCATATTAGGTAAAATGTGTTAACACATGAATGTTAGTAATGTGCAAAAAAAAATAATTTAATCCTTGATTGAATTAAACAAAGTACATTAATAAAAGTCTTTATTATTATTATTATTATTGTAGATGTTTTGAGAGGCTGTCCATACACTGCTTGGTATATAATGCAAATCATTATGACCTCCATGGTGTTATTGGCCTGACACTCGTACAGTATCATGGAAGGGAGCTGAGTGTAGCTGGCTGATCACTATAAGTTGGTGGTGTAGCACCCAGAAGTACTGTGCAAGTGTTTTGGACTTGCCAATACTGCACTCATCACCCACAAACACACACTTAAGTATTGTTTATTAGGGTGAAAGTAAGGGAAGCTTGTCCTATTTGCAGTCACTGTTTACCTTTTAATATGCTACAGGAGTGACATATTTAACTGATTCATAGTCCTATAAAAAGTGTAGTATGTGCTCATAAATGTGTATTTTAACTTCCCCACTTTTAACTACAAATTTGTAAAATATTAAATTTGGGCTTTGCTTCTCTGGGCCTGAACACATACAAAACACCTACCATTAATGTAACACAAACCTGTATTCCTGACCCAAAAACCACCATCTTGCCTGCTCCCCCTGCTTTGCCCCCCTAAATATAGTAAAATCTTACTTATATTCAAGTCTGTAGCTGCTGGCTCTGCCCCTGATCTGCCTGCTTGGCTAACCTCATCAGAAGTGGTCTGAGCCATTCACAAAGGATTCCCCATAGGATTGGCTGAGACTGTCAAGGAGGCAGATCGGGGGAGAGCCAGCACAAGTCAAACACCGCCCTGGCCAATCAGCATCTCCTCATACAGATGCACTGAATCATTGCATCTCTATGAGGAAAGTTCAGTGTCTGCATGCAGAAAGCACTTCTAATAGCCGTCTGAGGAGTGACCAGGGGAGTTATAACTGGGCTGTAATGTAAACATTGCATTTTCTCTGAAAAGACCGTGTTTACAGCAAAAAGCCTGAAGGGAATGATTCCACTCAACAGAACAAATAGAATAAGCTGTAGTTGTTCTGGTGACAATAGTGTCCTTTTTAATATATACAATGGCACAGTGGTTAAATATTAGAGAAATTCTAACTGCCCTTCGAGCATCAAATATGTTTGTGTTTATGCATCAAATAGTTTTGAAGAAGTACTTCTTAGTATTTGTGGAATTCACGTACACATTAAAGTACATTTTACACAGCTGCATATTTATTAATTTTCAGATATAAAATTGCTGACTGTTTTTTCTTCCTCTTCTCAGTTCGGGACTTGCTCTTCTGGCGGGATGTAAAGAAGTCTGGATTGGTTTTTGGGGTGACAATGGTATTGCTTCTGTCACTAGCAGCCTTCAGCATTATCAGCGTCATTTCCTACCTCATCCTGTCCCTTCTGACAGTGACGATCAGCTATCGTATCTACAAGTCTGTAATGCAAGCTGTCCAGAAATCCGATGATGGCCACCCTTTCAAGTGAGTAGGTGAAAACTCACACTAGTAAGCCCCTAACCAGTCTCAGCCCTCTCCTTATTATCAATGTAAGTGCTGGGAGTTTCCCATGAACTGCTGCTCGGTAGGGTTTGTTGGGTATATAGTTTAACATTCAGCATCTATGTCTTCATGAAAATATTTTGGGAAAAACTAATACACAAGTTGTCCCTGCTTCTAGCACTGTGCTAAAATAGCTCTATTTGGGGGAGGATGTGGATCAGGGGCTCAACTCTGTTATTGGAATTGGTGTTAATTGTTGTATCACATATCCAAAAACAAAATAACACCTACTGATCGATGGTATTTATTCAGCGTGTCTGTTGATGTCAGTCTTTGAGAGAGTATGTCAGAGAAGATAGGAACTAGGACTGCATGCACTCTCTGTATTTACATGCCATTCAAGTGCTTATGCAACCAGGGGGAAATGGAAGGTCTAGTGGGTGTGATGGGGGAAGGGACCATAACCTACATTGCTTCCGTTTTCTATTTTGAAGAAACTGTTTGAATTACAAGCAACAGATGGAAGGAGGACAGACACATGAGAATCTTTAATGGATCTGTGTGGGAAGAAAAGGCATGACTTACTAGGTTACTGAAAAGTATTTGAAATTGTTGATGTATGTTTAATTTGCAGAGATTTGCTAGAAAAGGATATCACTCTGTCATCTGACTCCATCCAGAAGAAAATCAATGCATCTCTCGCTCACATCAATCGGGCCTCAAAACATATTGTTCGCCTCTTTCTTGTGGAAGACCTTATAGATTCTCTCAAGGTGACTGTGATACAATGTATGGTAGAAGAGAAGTCTCATGATTGGAAATAGGGAATTATTCTAGCTAGGAGGATGGTCTCTTGGCACGGTACAGGACACAGCAGTTTTAAAAGCTCTATGTTGCACAGATGCATAGTTTTAAACAGTCTACTGTACTTAAATTTACCTTAATAAAGGAGTAATAGAATAAAACAAAGAAAAAGTGTACCTATGAGGGAACTAGGAAAATGGTATAGTGTATACATGGTAGAGTATCACTTCTAGGGTAGCCAGTCTCCTTCCAGACTAAGTACTAAACTATAATCTCAAATTACTAAAAAAATAAAAAAAATAAAAAATACAATTTTATTAAATCCAATTACTGAAAACTCAATATGTGCTAGCACGTAAAAGTGCTCAAAGTGCTCATGTACATAAATAGGTGCGATGACTGCAAGTATATATGATAAATAGTATTATTAATTCTGTAGTAACACCCAGTGTGTGTCAAAGTGTGGTTACCACTCCAATAAGGCTAATAAACACTAGGTAGCACCATACAAAGAAATTCCAAGGTAATTCTATCCATAATGCTTGCTAGGGAGTAATGATGTGTACCGAAACCATAAAGCATAATCTGGTATCAGCCATAGATGTTTGTATGCTGATATTAAATGCAAAACGCTGGAAAAATACCTAGCCGGAATGCTGAATATATAATGGAGTACTCAATGCTACACGGGTAAGGCTTATATTTGAAATCAAGTTAATATCGTTGTGGTGCCAAATTATGCGCAATGGGCCGAATGGTTCTTATCTGCCGTCGCATTCTATGTTTCTATAGGCTAGGGACTAATGAAAGTATTTAGAAAATTGGGCAGACTAGATGGGCCGAATGGTTCTCATCTGCTGTCACATTCTATGTTTCTATGTAAGCCCACAGATATCTTGCAGTGTTCCGTACCAGGGAATTTATGCTGTTGAGGTAGCGCTTGTAGCAATTCAGACACAGTGTAGGCATCACATTTGTAGCTAGATTAGCTCCGAAACTGTGGTAAGGGTAACCATGAGATACGATAAATTAACCCCCTGTGCCTTCGTACACACTAAACTCCTCTATCTATACACCTTGTAATTGCAATTCTCTACGAGTATTCTTTCTGACAGTAACAGACTGTTCAGTGTATCATCTCCCTTGGCTAGCGATTTTCCTCTTATATTGAGCATATTGTAGGTGTATGTGTCATACGCTGACAGCGTATTTGATACCTGCTGTCCTCTTTCTCCGGAGGGGGAGATAGTGTTTAGTGCCTAACACTGCAAGATATTTGTGGGCTTATGCTTAATTTGGCACCACAACAATATTAACTTGATTTCAAATATAAGCCTTACCCGTGTAGCGTTGAGTACTCCATTATATATTCAGCATTCCGGCTAGGTATTTTTCCAGCGTTTTGCATTTAATATCAGCATACAAACATCTATGGCTGATACCAGATTATGCTTTATGGTTTCGGTACACGCCATTACCTCCTAGCAACCATTATGGATAGAATTACCTTGGACTTTCTTTGTATGGTGCTACCTAGTGTTTATTAGCCTTATTGGAGTGCTAACCACACTTTGACACACACTGGGTGTTACTACAGAATTAATAATACTATTTATCATATATACTTGCAGTCATCGCACCTATTTATGTACATGAGCACTTTTAAGTGCCAGCACATATTGAGTTTTCAGTATATTGATTTAATAAAATAAAAATTATTTTTAGTAATTTGAGATTATGGTTTAGTACTTAGTCTGGAAGGACTCTGGCTACCCTAGAAGTGATACTCTACCATTTTCATAGTTCCCTCATAGGTACACTTTTTCTTTGTTTTATTCTATTTTTTGGGGGAAACAACAAACAACACTTAACTACTGTGACATAAATAAGGTTTTATTTTAAAATATTTCAGACAGGATCTAAAATTATACAATGAAACACCTTATAATCTTTAAAACCATGTACCCCCAATATATTACTTTAAATATGAACTCAGCAACAGTCTATATACTTTTAAAATGTTTAGATTGTGTTTTCTGGTTGTGAGTTAACGACCAGAGTAGACTTTTCCTACATTAAGTATGTTTTGCCAGACTGGTTCTTCTGTACATCAACCAGTTACAGCATTCTCCTTGCAAACAAGTCTTAGAATAATGTGACTCAGCAAAGAACATGGTAGGAAGAAAGATACATAAGGCAAAACGAGCATTAAAAAGTCATTACGTGCAAGTGTGCCACTGACGCTTGTAATAATATCAATGTATTATATTAATTGATTGTGTCCAAGTCACTTTCTGCAGCAGAGCTAGGATTTTTGGAGTGCGTTTTCTCTCTCATGCTGTATTGTTTATCTTTTCTCAGCTGGCCCTTCTTATGTGGCTGATGACCTATGTAGGAGCTGTATTTAACGGGATCACTCTGCTCATTCTTGGTAAGTGCTCTCTAACAGATGTGCAGACCTGTCTGACACTTACATTGAGCTGGGAGTTGATTTTTAACCAGTGTTAATTTTGTTTTAGTCTTTGTCATAGTCTTTTGACTTAGATGCCATTTTGTTTTAGTCATTTGAATTGTTAGTTTGTCAACTAAAAATCTAATTAGTTTAGTTAAAGTTTAATGCATTATTTCAGCATTTCTTTAAAATTTCCAAACCACTTGGGTCTGCCTACATCTGCATGAAGACTCCTTCCACATCAGGATGAGACACTCCATATTGTGCATATGGTGTACACATTCACTATAGATAAAGCTGATATTTAGAAAACCAAAATAAGTCTTCCAAGCTGCTCGATTGACAGACCAAGTGGGCTGTCTTTAGCGGCAGCAGTTTTTTTGCTAATCATTGCCATCAATAATTCTCTGTAATCAGAATGGGCTCAGGGTGCCCTAAGTACCACACACTTTGCAATAATGGAAAGTACTTATGATGCTTAGACTTTCCTTTTAACAGTAATAAGAAGCTACTTATACAGCACTCTTTAATCCAAGGTTTTTTTTCGAAGCACTCAGCGCACATTCTAATTTTAAACAAACCAGAAGCTAATAAATAGATGTTACCATTAGCAAACTTAGTAATGCTTATATTATTGATCTCCGAAATTAATGTGGTCCAGCAGGCCATAAAAGCTACAAGTCTTCTGGTGGAATATATTTTAGCAAACCCTGCAGTTTAAGGGTCAATTAAGCAGCATAATGACTACAGCTTGTTCTACTCGTTTGGGGCAAGGAGTTTTTGGGCACTGTCCTTTCAAACCAAGTCATTTAGCAAAACTGGGCTCTCCCGTCATCCAAAGCGCAAGGGTGAGTGAAACTGCTAGATCCAGGTTAGCTCAGCACTGCTAGCCTGCCATTGCTACCCTAGGTTGAGTGACTAATGTGGAAACAATTTTTACAGCACAGGAGCTGGGGCTTTAGGAACGAACTCCTAACATTTTGACAGGTGGTATTAGTATTTTTTATACAAATGAGTTGCCATGGCAATCATGGTATACGTTCTTTACTTGCGTTCAGTAAGGAGATAATGCATTTTTGCTTCATGCAGAAAATTTTGATTTTAATTAATGTATTTAAATTTTCACTAATTTAGAAGTCCGTTATATTTTAAATTTTTATGTCTGGTCAGTGTTAGATAAATTAATTTTGAAACTGTGATAGATATACTTAGCATGCAATTTCCTTTATAGAATATATTGTTTTATTCCTCAAAGTCTGTATATATGCTGATGGAGTTACACCCAGGCCAACCCACGGTGTATCAAGACCATTAATTTCCTATGCTATATTCAGTTGCGTAGCCTGGAAAAAAAAAAGGTCAGCTTTAGGAAGGTATAAACATTTTATTTTTACATTGTGCTTGTGACATGGTCAGAAAATGTAAACATACCAAATTATATGTATATACCCAATGCTTGTTTCTATCTCTTTCAAGGGTCCACTTTCAAGGGTCCACTGCAGTGGATCCAAGCAGAGTTTAACACAAAAAAAAAAAAAAAAAGGTTTCCTAATTTGGACAAAGTAACATAAAAAAAAACTGCAACCCTACTTCTAAAGTTTTTCATTTGTGCAATAGTAATGTCAATTTAATCTGTGTAGGGACACCTTTAACCAATCAATGCTGTCAGATTTGGACAAAATTACCCATACCCTGGGCAGTTGTCAATCACATGAAAAACTCCCTACAGTGTTGTTTTAATGTTGTGCTTTAAGAATAGTAGTGGCAGTACTTTATAGAACTCCATGATCTTTACTCAGAATTTCTACTCAAAACTTGCATACTGTTTTCTTATTTATTTATTTTTATATTTGCTTTTTAGGAGTGCTGGTTGCTTTTACTGCCCCCCTGGTCTATGAGAAATATAAGGTAATTTATCATTTGCCTTTTAACACAAGCCCACATCCCTCTGTTTCCCTGTTGTCTGCAACACGCTTCATTATAAAATCCAATGATGTACACCGTTAAAAAATTATACACTATAACCATATAATTATATTTTAGGAGGAAATTTTAAGGTAATAAAAAAAAAAAAGAAAACAGGGCTGTCCATTACAAGCTGCACTGAAAATGCAAAAACTAGACAACGTTTCAAGTGTATATCCATCCAACCTGGGACCTCAAAAAAAGCCTGACCCACCCCCACGCACTTTCTGTCTTTTCTCATTAAGTGAACATCTGCATTTTCAATGTGGCTGCTGAAGGGTCAGTCTATGGGTGATGTAGAGTTCAAATTATGCAGACAGCGCCTGTTACTGCAACTCACTGCTCCCATAAAGAGGCAGATAGATTGAATATAGAGAATCTACACAGGAACTTTACCAAGGTTGTCTATACAGAGTTCATAAGAAAACAGATAGCAGCCGCAATGAGAGAACGTGCGCTACCCGACCACAGTTTCACCAAATCTACTTCCAAGTAGTACTTCCCGTCCTAAGTGTAATCAGCTGTTAGATGGCAAGGAGGTTTAATAATTTATCTGCCAACTTAGCAATGTGATTTTTTTTTTAAATTTTATATATATATATATATATTTTTTTTTTTTACTATTATTAAATAAGGAGTTTAGAATTATGCAACTTTAAGCAATGCATTTGTAATGAGAGAACAAAGATTACTGTGTCTGCAATAAAGCACAATCAGCAAGGAAAAAGTCTGATTTCCCCCTCCCAATTCCTTCCCCAAATCATATGTTCTCACACATCCTTTCATAGTGCAAACTATTCCTCGTTCTTCCATTATTTTCATATATTTCACCCTTACGATTTCCTCAATCTTGCTAAAACACACACATTCCCTTCACCTCTCCTCATTTTAACTTTTATTTTATTTGTTTCCAGGTACAAATTGATCATTATGTATCCCTGGTACACAATCAAGTAAAATCCATAACCGAAAAGTAAGTACCAGATGGCTATCAGGAATAAAACCAGGTTCTGGGAGTGGATAGGATAAGGGGTTGAATGATAAAGCTGTGAGTGCAGTGACTGAGCGGGTATGCTTTAGTATCCTGATCTCACTAGCCATTTATAATAATAGTGTCTAACAAAATATCCTTTCATTTTTCCCGGCAGGATCCAAGCCAAGCTCCCAGGAGCACTGAAGAAGAAAACCGAGTGAAGAAGCAAGATTGGGGGGGAGGGTTGGGAGGGTAATAATGAAGTGTAAACACTGGCTATGCCATATCTTGTTTCTGGTCACAGGATTCCTTGTATTGTATAGATATATATATATATGGTTCCTTTCTGGCAGGAAAAGAAATGGTTGTCCGCACCTGTGTCCTTGTACAGTCATGCTTCTCTAAACACTGGATAGCTGTGGAGGGACCCAGTAAAACACACAGCTCTCCATCTGTCACTATTTAATCACTGTCATTCCATGCTCCTCCACTACTGATCAAGGGTGCGTGTGCCCATCTTTCAGACTCCTTCACCCTCAGCTCCAACACCTTTTGGACTTACTTGATCTTTTCCCCTCTTATTCAAATATCCCTTATACCTGTCCTACTCTTATTTCTCTACTTTAGATCTCTGATGGGTTCATCTATCTTCAAAGCCCAGCCTTACTGCATTATCTCCTGTCTAATCTTCCAAATAGTCTCTTATTTTCTTGTGTTCTTCAGCAGAAGCTAACATACTCCCTTATAACCGCCACCAAAACCCGTCTCTTCCCCACTGTCTACAAATCCTGCATAAGAACATGGTCTGTCCTTTAGTCATCGCACTGTTGGCCTGAGTTATATGTCTGGTAAATGCTACCAGAGTAAAGTCAGTCAAGCAACAAAACAAAAATATCTAGTATTAATTTATAATTCACTTTTATTTTGTACACACAATCAATACTGGACCCATGGAGTAAATACATTTTTATGTACATTGTTACTAGTGCGTTGCCAGGTGTTACACTTCGAAGGACTCTACGTTCTGTATGCCACCTCACCCCTTCTGTTTCAGATTCATCATTCCCTTCCTTACCCTCTCCCGTACGCATCAGGAGAAATGCAGTATCGTCAACTCACTGCTAAACGCCGAACATTATCCCTTTCTTAGGTTTGCATTTAAATGCAACTTAATTTAAAAAAAAATAATAATAAATCTGCCCTCAAATAGAACAAATAGTTACATTTGTAGAACACGCAACATGTGACCGCACTATGTAAAGTTTAGTGAATGCTCTTATTAATTTAAAGAGAGGATCAGGGATTAAGTCTATTTGCATAACAAGCTAATAGTGTCTCCTCCTAGTTGTCCATAATTTTATGTCAAAAAGTATAAAGTGACTACCAACAGTCTAATAAGGATCTCTCTATGTTTAAATGAAAAATTAAGTTGTACATTTGAGTTAGGAATATACTCCTGTCATTTACCCTGCACCAGGGGTGGGATGTTTTTATTAATGTGATTTGTGTTGCACTGAGCTTCTAATTATTCACTGTGTATCAATGCTGTTTAAAAGCTAAGGCTTTACGATTATTTTAAGAGTGAAAGTGATGCAGCTAACTAAGTATTCAATAATACAACCATAAACCAGCTCCTTAGTACAGAAACAAAAGGTCTGCTTTTATTTTATGGGTGTCAGAAAAAAACACTATTTTTGTTTTGTTTTGTTTCTGCAAGTTGGTAGAACAAAATTCTCTGTATATTGCAAATACATGTGGTATTAAAAGGAGTAGGACATGTACATGTGGTCTTCTTTTCTGTGTACCATCTGGACAGGAAATTGGCATTCTTGCAAAAAGGGTGGCAGATGAGGCTATACCTACCACCTAGACATCCAGAGACCTAGGACATAACTAACAACGGAATTCTTGACTCTATACAGGGGGGGCGGCGGTGGTGCCTGCTCAGTACCATAAGCACTACAGCACACTGCTGGGTTTCTTTAAACTAGATTTCGGGGGATGGGGGGGGGAGTTGCCCTAAACATAAATGTGATTTAACATATATATGTGCATTTGTTTGATGAAAACTCCTAAAGTAGGAATTGTGGGGAATTAAAAGTGACCTTAAAGAAACAATCCAAGCACCATAACACTAGAGCCCTCCCAGAGTGATTTGTCAAGTCACTTTAGAACAGTTTGGCAGCTTACTTGGGTCCTATTGAACAGCCACAGTTCTCCACCCATATCCTTTTTGAAAGAGAATCTGGTTACCTCCATTGAGCTTAGCATGACCATGTTCCTTGGAAAGTTAGCTGAGCACGGTACTGTATCTGACCTGCAGAGAACAATGTTATACGGCACAGATGGCGGGCATACCCAAGATAGATATCAAACCGTTCTAAAGCTGTTTTACAGATTACTGTGGGAGGCTGTCAGAATGGTGCTATAACCATTACAGCAAGACTTATCAGTTGTGGTATTTGGAGCATTCCTTTAAAATGTTAGGCCAAAATAGTTGTCTTGGAAATCTAGATTAATAGGAGAAATATTTGAATTCTGAAATTCAAAGCTAATGTGGCCTAAAATTTTAAACTCACTTTTTAAATATTTGTGAATATAGCTGTTAAAGTAATCATGTAGTTATCCATAGAGTGCTGTGAGTATGGTAATTTATTAAAAGGAATATGTTAACATGTCCTTTTCTATGTAGCTTTGTGGGGTCTTTCATGAATAGAAGGAAAAGAGGCTGTAAATGTGCTCAGCTGCTGTACACTTGTATAAGACAGGGCACTATTATTTATATATATATATAATGGCATCCCCTTTAATCACAAAGGGAACATGGAATTTTGTTAGTAAATTATTTATAAAGTGCCAACATAATGAACAGCGCTGGGTTATAGGTGGAATAATAATCATTTGCAACAAGTCAAGTTGGACATATAGGAATAGATGATGCGGGCAGTGCACAATTCAATTTACGGTCTAATACGTGGCTACTTTATGGCCTTTTCAGCCTTAATTGCAGAACTAAATAGTTGTTGATTACTTACTAGCCTAGGTAAGGTATAAGAAATAACTCCTTTTTGCTCATCAGCTTCTTTTCCTTTGTTCTCTTGTAACACTTTATTACACTAATAGCATTGACTCTCCCTCCATGAACATACTCTTTTACCCCTTGCAGAATAACGGCTCACTCTCTTTATCCCACTGCTCAAACTAAAAAAAAAAAATGAAATCCCAACCAGTAGTAACAGATCCTGCTGTTCCCCCAGGTTGGGTTCTTACTGTCTCCCATTTGAGGACACCAGGGAACTAGCCACAGTGAACTCGTCATTAGACAGGCATGCTCTATGCCGAATGGTGTCAGAGCATTAGGACCATATGCTTCATCAGTGCTCTGCGTTTGGTCTGCAGTAAGTGGAACTGACCAGTGAGGATGTTAGTCAGCCCGCCAGGCTGAAATAACTATTCTTTGGGCTGTTTTGTTCTCTTACCAAGTGAAACCACAAATTTTGGGCCTTGCCAGTGACACTTGTGATGTTACAGACACGGCCCTATAGGTCTGTCAAACCCCTGTCCTCTCATTCTTCCCTTTATTGGGAGGTATGGTAAACTATGGTGGTAGTGTTGGGGATGTGTAAGGTCAGCCTCAGTCGAGATCTGGGATAGCTCTATCGTATGCCACCAAGGTACTGTATATCTATTGTATCAAGCTCAAAACTACATTGTATACTGAGGCCCTGCACAATGTAATTAAACTGCAATAAAGGTGTACCTGGTGATCTATCAACCGCCCAATCCAGTGGGAGGAACATAAGGAAATAAATAGCAACTTTAGTCTCCATGTGTCGTACCTGGACACTCATGGCTGAAGTTTGTGCAGGCATACCCCGCTTTACATACACTCCCTTTCAGTACACTCGCTAGTACAGACATACCCGCTTGTGTACGTAAAGGTGCCTCGCGAGTACAGACATTCCCGCTAGTGTACGTAAAGGTGCCTCGAGTACAGACATACCCGCTAGTGTACGTAAAGGTGCCTCACGAGTACAGACATACCCGCTACTGTACGTAAAGGTGCCTCGCGAGTACAGACATTCCCGCTAGTGTACGTAAAGGTGCCTCAGGAGTACAGACATACCCGCTAGTGTACGTAAAGGTGCCTCGCGAGTACAGACATACCCGCTACTGTACGTAAAGGTGCCTCGCGAGTACAGACATTCCCGCTAGTGTACGTAAAGGTGCCTTGTGAGTACAGACATTCCTGTGCCTCTAATGTCCGCGAGTGAACAGGAAATGGTATATATTAAGGAAGAACCCATGGCAATAGATGTGCAAATGATTGCTACTAAAAACTTGCAGAATAATTGTAATTGGTTAACTCAAGACAAGGTGCTGCAGCAACTAAAGAAAGTTAATATAAACAAAGCTCAAGGGCCTGACGGTATCCATCCACATGTACTTAAAAGAAGAAAAACTACCACAACAAGAGGACATAGTCTTAAATTAGAGGGACAAAGGTTTAAAAATATCAGGAAGTATTACTTTACCGAGAGAGTAGTGGATGCATGGAATAGCCTTCCAGCTGAAGTGGTAGAGGTTAACACAGCAAAGGAGTTTAAACATGCGTGGGATAGGCATAAGGCTATCCTAACTATAAGATAAGGCTAGGGACTAATGAAAGTATTTAGAAAATTGGGCAGACTAGATGGGCCGAATGGTTCTTATCTGCCGTCACATTCTATGTTTCTATGTTACTTAAGGAACTAAGTGTAGAAATAAGTGAACCTCTGTTTTTAATCTTTCAAGATTCTTTTCTTTCAGGAAGTGTTCCAGAGGATTGGAGGAAGGCAGATGTGGTTCCTATATTCAAAAAGGGTTCAAAATCCTTGCCTGGAAATTATAGACCTGTGAGCTTAACTTCTGTGGCTGGTAAAATATTTGAAAGGTTATTAAGGGATAATATTCAAGAATTACTTGAGAAGAACATGGTTATCAGCAAAAATCAGCACCGTTTTATGAAGCACAGGTCATGTCAAACTAACTTAATTGCATTCTACGAAGAAGTAAGTAGAAGTATAGATCAGGGTGTTGCCATGGATGTGATCTATTTGGATTTTGCCAAGGCATTTGATACAGTTCCACACAATAGATCAGTGTTCAAACTCAAGGAAATCGGTCTAGATGAAAATGCTTGTTCTTGGGTAGAACATTGGCTTAAAAACAGAGTACAAAGAGTTGTCATTAATGGTAAATTTTCAAGCTGGACAGAGGTGGCAAGTGGTGTCCCTCAGGGGTCTGTTCTGGGACCCCTTCTATTTAACATGTTTATAAATGATCTTGAAGACAGCATTGAAAGTCATGTTTCAGTGTTTGTATTATTTTACAAAGTTTTGTGTCATCTGCAATGTGAGCAAGACATTACTTTGTTGCAGAGGGATTTAGATAGACTGGGGGACTGGGCACTCAAATGGCAGATGAAATTTAATGTTGAAAAATGCAAAGTTATGCACTTCAGCGTAAAGAATACACAAACAACGTATACCCATAATGGAAGCGAATTAGGGACAACAACACACGAAAAGGACTTGGGAATTGTTATAGACAACAAACTATGCAACAATGTGCAATGTCAATCAGCAGTGGCCAAGGCCAGTAAGGTATTGTCATGCATGAAAAAGGGCATTAATTCTCGGGATGAGAATATAATTTTGCCTCTTTATAAATCACTGGTAAGACCCCGTATTTGAATATGCTGTGCAATTTTGGGCACCTGTTCTAAAGAAGGATAGTAGGGCACTAGAAAGTGCAGAGTGCACTGTTTGATCCAGCACGTAGAACTGTACAGCACGGATGACAAATAAGTAACATATTACCGGTCCTTAGAATGGCCGGATTTAACGTACAAAGAATAGTCAAAAATACTAGCTGAGGTCAGGGAACACAGAAAGGGACACAGCGATGAGGAAAGCCAGGAGTCAGGATACCAGAATATAGAGAAGTCAATAAACAAAGCCAAAGTCAAAAACCAGGTGGAAAACTATAAACAGGAACGCGCTCTCAGACAACCACAAGGGAAACCACGACAGGGCACTGAGCAGGCTGAGAACTGGGCCTAAATACCCCTCCTTTAGTTCTGATAGGCTGTAACCGGCCTTTGACCCCAAAGTCAGTTACCAGGTTTCATTTGCATAATTGCTGCTCAGCATTAACCCTTCTGTGGATTAGGTTGCTGCTCGGCACAACTTTTCCTGTGTGGACAGTAAATGTCATTAATCACTTTTCTCTAAGCAGATGAATACATGACACCAGGTTTCATTTGCACAATTACTGCTCAGCATTAACCCTTCTGTGGATTAGGTTGCTGCTCGGCACAACTTTTCCTGTGTGGACAGTAAATGTCATTAACCACATTTCTATAAGCGGATGAATATGTGACATTACCCCCCACCTGAAGAACGCCCACCGGGCGGACAGGACCAGGCTTGAGAGGAAATTTAGCGTGAAAAGCGCGGATCTTACGGCCCGCATGCAGGTCAGGAGCCGAAACCCAAGAATGATCAGCAGGACCGTAACCTTTCCAAACAACCAAGTACTGTAAAGTGCCCCGAGAAAACCTAGAATCCACGATAGAAGATACCTCATACTCTTCCTGACCACCCACCACCACCGGAGGGGGAGGAACACAAGGAACAGTATATCTATTGCAGACAAGAGGTTTGAGTAAGGACACATGAAAAGTGTTAGGAATCCCTAAAGATGCAGGAAGAGCCAGAGAGTAAGACACTGGATTGATCCTACGAAGCACTCTATAGGGACCAAGGAATCTGGGGGCAAACTTCATGCTAGGGACCTTAAGCTTGATGTTGCGAGATGACAACCAAACCCGGTCCCCCACTTGGTACACCGGGTTGGCACTCCTACGCTTATCAGCAAAATGTTTGAAGTGTTCAGCAGCAGCCCCTAGAGCAGTTTGAACCTTAACCCAGGTATCCCGAATGGAGGCCAGACGCTCATCCAGAGCAGGAATGGCAGTATCAGAAAATACCGCAGGGAGAACCGTAGGATGCCTACCATTATTGACAAAAAATGGACTGTGCCCAGAGGAGTAATGAACAGCATTGTTTCTAGCGAACTCGGCCCACGGGAGTAGTTCGGACCAATTGTCTTGTGTGCTATTAATAAAACAACGCAACTAAACTTCTAATGACTGGTTAGCCCTCTCAGCTGTACCATTGGTCTGTGGATGGTAGGAGGAGGAGAAGGAGAGATCAATCCCCAATTGTTTACTGAACGCCCTCCAGAACCTGGACACAAACTGAGAGCCCCTATCAGACACAATATTGTGGGGGATGCCATGCAAACGGACAATTTCACGTATGAAAATTAGGACCAAATCTTGCGAAGATGGCAACTTCTTGAGAGGAATGAAGTGAGCCATCTTAGAAAATCGGTCTACAACCATGAGAATAGTAGTGAACCCAGCAGAGCTAGGAAGCTCAACAATAAAGTCCATGGATAGGTGGGACCATGGAATCTCAGGAACAGGAAGAGGCTGCAACAGGCCACAAGGAAGTGCATGAGTCACCTTAGAAACTGCACACACAGAACATGCCTGCACATACTCCTTTACATCTTTCCTGAGTGAATCCCACCAAAATGATCTAGTGATCGCGGCAG